CGCATTCGCAATGACAGTCGCAGTGGCAACAGCCTTAGGATCCAATGGAATCCTAAGGAAACCTGAGGAATCCTTAGGAATCCTGATTCCTAGGGATTCCTAGGGATTCGTAAGGATTCCTAGGGATTCCTAAGGATTCCTAGGGAATCCTAAGGATCCCTAAGAATTGCTGAGGATGCTTAACTATGCCTACGGATTCCTAAGGATGCCTACGGATTCCTAAGGATTCCTACGGATTCCTACGGATGCCTCAGCCTGCCTCAGTTTCAGCCTCAGCCTCAGCCTGCCTCGGCTTGCCTCAGCCTCAGCCTCAGCCTGCCTCGGCCTCAGCCTCAGCCTGCCTCAGCCTCAGCCTCTGCATGCCTCGGCCTCAGCCTGCGTCAGCCTCAGCCTCAGCCTGCCTCATCATCAGCCTGCCTCAGCCTCAGCCTCAGCCTCAGCCTGCCTCGGCTTGCCTCAGCCTCAGCCTCAGCCTGCCTCGGCCTCAGCCTGCCTCAGCCTCCCCTCCTCCCCCCCCCCTCCCCCTTCCCCCCCATTCAGCCTCACCTTGTCTCAGCTTCGGCCTGCCTCGGCCTCATCCTCAGCCTCAGCCTCAGTCTCAGCCTCAGCCTGTCTCGGCTGAGCCTTTCTCTGCCTTCGGGCCTCAGCCTCAGCCTGCCTCAGCGCTCAAAATGTGGCCCTCAGCCTCAGCATACCTTGGCCCTCGCATCAGCCTCAGCCTCAGCCCTCAGCCTTGCCTCGGCTTGCCTCAGCCTCAGCCTCAGCCTGCCTCGGCCTCAGCCTCAGCCTGCCTCAGCCTCAGCCTCACCCTGCCTCAGCCTCAGCCTGCACCAGCCTCAGCCTCAGCCTGCCTCAGCCGCAACTTGCCTCAGCCTCAGCCACAGCCTCAGCCTCAGCCTGCCTCAGCTTCAGCCTCAGCCTCAGCCTGCCTCGGCTTGCCTCAGCCTCAGCCTCAGCCTGCCTGCCTCAGCCTCAGCCTCAGCCTGCCTCGGCCTCAGCCTCAGCCTCAGCCTGCCTCAGCCTCAGCGTCAGCCTCTCAGCCTTTGCCTGCATCAGCCTCAGCCTCAGCCTCAGCCTCAGCCTGCCTCAGCCTCAGTCTCAGCCTGCCTCAGCCAGCCTGCCTCGGCCTCAGCCTGCGTCAGCCTCAGCCTCGGCCTCAGCCTCAGCCCGCCTCGGCCTCAGCCTCAGCCTGCCTAGGCGTGCCTCAGCCTCAGCCTCAGCCTGCCTCGGCCTCAGCCTGCCTCGCCCTCAGCCTGCCTCAGCTCGGGCAATCAAAATATGGTACAGGAATGGTGTTCTGGGAACACGAAGAACACGAAGTGGCCTACAGTTGGCTCCGGGCATTCAAAATATGGCCTGGGAATGGTGTGCTGGGAACACGAAGAACACGAAGTGGCCTACAGTTGGCTCTGGGCAGTCAAAATGTGGCCTGGGAATGGTGTTCTGGGAACACAAAGAACTCGAAGTGGCCTACAGTTGGCTCCGGGCATTCAAAATGTGGCCTGGGAATGGTGTTCTAGGGAGTCCCCGGTCCTCCCCGGCACCCGCCCAGACCCCCCTTGGGAGTCCCGGGGAGTCCCCGGATTCTCCTCAGCATCCGCCCAGACCCCCCTAGGGAGTCAAGATGCTTTCTGTTGAGCCCACTAGAAACCTATCAGTCTTCGCTGTTGGATAACAAGAATTTCAAGGATTGGGGGCTGGTCCTTTTTAAAATGTGGCTCTCGCTTTAGCGCCGCGGACATTCGTTTTATTTTTGTTGCAAGAGTTTCGCGGATTGAGGGCGGGTGGTTTCCAAAATGTGGCTCTCGCCTTAGCGCCGCGCACAGTTGTTTTCAACATTTGCAAGAGATTCGCGGATTGAGGTCGGTTCTTTTTCACAATGTGGCTCTCGCCTTAACGCCGCGCACATTCGTTGTAACAAAATTGCAAGAGCTTCACGGATTCCCGTGATCAGCGTACCCGAAATGGTGTTCTGGAAATATTTAGGATTGTGAGGGCGCCACAGTTACGTTGATTCGTGGTGCCGAAGTCCCGGGAATGGCGTTCTTGCGCGATTGAAGATCGTCAAGACGCAACAGTCAGGTTGATCCGTAGCGTTGGAGTACCGAGAACCGTGTTTGGCATCCTTCAGGTTCTTCAAACGGTTCTCTTCCGACGAGGCAGTTCCTCCAGTGGAAGTGAACCGATGTAGGGGCCCATGAAGAGGGAGCATGGAGGGAGTACATTGGTCCTCCTCCTCCTCCTTCTTCCTTCCCCCTCCCCCTGCCCCTCTTCCCCCTCCTCCCCTTCCCCCCCTCCCCCCTCCTCCTCCCCCTCCTCCTTCCTGCCCGCCGCTGCTGCACGCGCGCGCGAGCGCGCCTCCCCCCCCCCGCCCTCCTCCTCCTCCTCCTCCCTCCCTCCTCCTCCTCCTCCTCCCTCCTCCTCCTCCTCCTCCCTCCTCCTCCTCCTCCCCCCCGCCTTTGCCCACGGCAGCGGCAGGCGGCGCCCGCTGGCCCGCCACCGCCTCCCCCGGCGCGCCCGCCGCTGCCCGTGCCGGCGGCGGCCCCCGCCAGCCCCCGCGGCCGCTGTGGCCGCCCGGCACCGCCCCCGGAAGACAGGGGCGCCCTCGAGGGCGCGAAGCTACACTTACATCGGGCCTGTCCCCCTACAGGGGCATTTTTGGGGTATTTCTTATTTTTCGTCGAAAATCCCCCTGTAGGGGGACAGGCCCGGCGAGTTGTGCGTTCTTTTTCGGCCCCCGTCGGCCCCCTGGGGGCCCTTGCCAGGCCCAAGGGCCGTCAAAGGAGCGGACTTCGGGAGGAGAAGCCGGCCCCGGAGCAGAGGTCCGCGCCTCGCGAAGCTCGGCTCTGCGCTCCGCGCTGCCCAGCGTGCCGTCCCGTGAACACGGGATGCCCGCCTTCAGACAACAAGGGCAAGGATCACCTCCTGAGAGGCGCGGGCACAACCACCTCTGGCTTCGGGGAGGATGGCCTCTTGCCCTGCTTCAAAAGACGCGCCTCGTCCTCGTCCTTGTCTCCCCTGGGCGTTGGCGCGACGAGCGCGGCGTGGTCCGTGCCTCGCGCAGCGCGAAGCGCGAAGGTAGGCGCCCCGATGGAACAGGGGCAGCGGTCAGGCCGGGAACCGCAAACATCTGGTGCCAGAGGGGTTCGTCGCTTTTGGGCCTCCGTGGGCCCCCGGCGGGCCTCGAGGCCGCAAGCAGCAGGCCTTGGGGAGCGGGGCGAGGCTGCTGGCGGCAGTTGTGTCATTCCTGCTCTGCCGATCGGCGCGGGCCCTCGCGGCCGCCCTCCCGCCGCCCCCCCCCCCCCCCCGCGTCAGATCTTGGCTGTTTGGGGCGCCTGTTTCGAGCAGGTGGAGACTGTCTCCCCTCACGGTAAGCAGAGGTCCGGAGCCAGACCCCCCCCCTCCCCCCCCCCCCCTCCCCCTCCGCCCCATGTCGAAACGCCGGAGAAGAAAGCGCTCACCGGGGGGTCGACGATGTGCGAGCATCATGACGTCGGAGGTTCTGGGGATCACGAGCCACATGGGGGGAGCAGCTCAGGGAAGACGCGAGAGATCAGAAGAACAAGCACACGGACGCACATCATCGCCGATTCTCAGGGAAGTATGGGAAGATCTAGGAGGCGTGGGGGGGGGGACGAGAATCTAGAAAGTATGGAAGGTATGGGGAATCCTGGGATCTGTGTATAACCGCATGCCGATGATAATAAAGGGACCCCCCCCCTTCAGTGTTTAGAGTTGATTATCGTCGCCCTATACAAAATTCAAATTGGGCGGCGAGCGCTGAGGCCGAACTTCATTATCACCTCGAAACGCTATGTTGAGATAGCAACATCAAGCGATGTTGATATAGCAACATCAAGCGAAGCGATCACACTTTTTCAGGATGTGTCAAGCGAAACCAATAATTTTGGGAGGCAGACTCAAACGAAACGAGCAATGTTCTTATTATTATTCTACTTTCCTCTTCTTCTTTTATATTTCTATCTGTCCCACGCTCGCCTGAACTTTTTTATCCCTGGGGTTGATTATCCATGGAAATTGAGGCACATGAGCTACCCTACACGAGCACTTACAAAAAACAATTTTCATGAGAGATAAGCCATTGTTGAGGATATTTCTATGAAAACTAAACGCCAAGGATGTCTCAAAACGTGCTCGGCTTGGTCTCCTCTTGATCATCTCTTACTTCGAGATTATGCTGAGGTCTGCTGGGCTACTTTTATTATCTCTCCCTGAACCCCGAACTTTATTATCCCCTAGTGTTTATTCTCACGGGCATGAGGTTATATTCGTGTCTGGCTCCTGTCCAAGCCGTTCCTTTTCCTGTGCAAGCTCCTCAGCACCGCCTGCACCCCGCGCCCTCGGGGCCGCCTGAGGCCCCGCCCGCCTGTGCTCTGTCTCCCCAATAAGTGCTTTGCGCGGCCCGCCTGGCTCTTAACCGGAAGAGGCTCTCTCTCGACCCGCAGACCAAAAAAGTATACATTCGTGTGCCCTTGGGCCCCTCGAAGGACGGAGTCCCGAGGCCTGCTGTCTCCCGGCGGCCGCGTCGGCTCTCGGCGGCTCTGCAGCCTCGGGGGGCCTTCAGGCGGCTGCGCCTCGCCGAGAGCGCTCCGCGGGTTTTCCCCGGCGCCGATCCAAGAAATCCCTCCTCCTCCTCCTCCTCCTCCTCCTCCTCCTCCTAGCCCACGCTCCGCCTCCTCCTCCTCCTCCTCCTCCTCCTCCTCCTCCTCCTCCTCCTCCTAGCCCACGCTCCGCCTCCGCCTCCTCCTCCTCCTCCTCCTCCTCCTCCTCCTCCTCCTCCTCGTCTTCCTCTCGCCCGCAGCAGAACCGAAGAATCCCGAGGCTCGAGGGGTTCTTGTTGGACCTCTGGGGCCGTCCAGGCGGGCTCTGTAGCGCTCATCGGGGCCCACCTCCTTGAGGAACTGGCGCTTTCCCTCGAGGAAGCGGCGCGGTACCCCTCGGTGGTGACCCCGCTTCCGGCGGCGAGCGAGGGGGGGAAGCGGGAAAGAAGAGGCCGTTCCTCAGAGGGCCTCGGGACTTCTCAGAAGCGCCCTGGCCTTGTGAGGAGTGTTGTGCGTCTTCGGGGATTAAGGCTCAGAAGCCTTCTCAGAAGGCCGGGGAACCTCCGAGCCTTCCGAGACGGCCCGCCCCTTTCTCACATCCCCCCGGCGCGCCGCCCAACCTGTGCCACTGCCCCAGGCGCCGCGGCCCCGCTCTGCGCGCCGGCGCACCCGCAGATCGTGGCCCTCGACAGCCCGCGGGGGACGTCTCTGGCCGGCGACGTCGCGCCCGCGCTCCCCGGGAGGGGAAGCCCTGGCTGGGCCAGGGGCCTCCTCGACTAGACGCAAGAGTGACCTTTCGCCGGAGTGACTTTTGGTGCGGGCACAGATGGGCCCTCGGATGGCTGGAAACGAAGCGGCAGCAGCGGCCTGCGCGCCCAGGCTCGGTCTCCCCGCGGCCCCCAAAAAGCCGCGAACCAAAGGTCACTCTTACCCAGGGTCACTCTTGCGTGTAGCCGACCTTCGGCCCATCCCGCCACCGCGCCCTGGTCCGTCTTTGGGCCCCGCTGGGCCCGAAGAAGTCGTGCGGGAAGGCGCCCCGTGTGCGCCGGGAGCCCAGGGGAGCTTTGAGGAGTCGGGGTTCCCGAGTTGGGGTCCGGGCTTTGTCGAGGATCCTCAGAATTTGGGACTGAGGCTAGAAGGGACCACAGGACACTCCAACACGCGCCCCGCAGGCACGGTGCTCGATGTCTTCGCGCCGGATGTGTGTTTTCCTCCGTGGGCGGGCGCCGGGGCCTGCACAGATCGATCTGGCTGGCAGCCTGTCGCAGAAGATGGGTCCAGAGTTTGCGATGTTGCATGCGTCTCGCGACGTCGAATCTCAAGGGAACGCGGAGGTCACACAACACACAATCCCCGATCGAGCACTAAGCCCGGTCCAATACTGGACTCGGAAGGAAAAATGTTGATTAAAACCGGTCTCAAGTCGTGCATGGCCTGCCTCTGGAACGCTTCGGCCTTGCAGGCAACTTCGGATCAGCCACGTCGCCTGGGCTCCACCTGGCAACCACATGCGCGGAGGTCGCCATGAAGCAAACGGGTCGTGAGGGAAACAGGCCTTGATTCGGTAGCAAATCATGGGAGCCTGGTATACCCTCTGAATTCCGTTTTTGGCGTCGATTAGCGTCGGTTTAGCGTTTGGGAGTCGATGAGGTAGCGCCGATTTAGTGTCGGTTAGCGTCGATTCGCGTCGATTCAGCGTCGATGTAGCGTCGATTTAGCGTCGATTAGCGTCGATTTCGCGTCTGGGAGTCGATGAGGTAGCTCCGATTTAGTGTCGGTTAGCTTCGATTCGCGTCGATTCAGCGTCGATCTAGCGTCGATTGAGCGTCGATGAGCGTCGATTTAGCGTCGACTAGTGTCGACTCGCAAGAGCCGACAAGACGGTATGGGAGGCTCCCATGCGTTGCCACCGAGCCTTGAGAGGCTTCGCCGCTTTCAGCCGCCTGGGGCCCTCCACGGGCCTGGGGGTTCTCAGAAACCAGTCCTGGGGCAAGGCTCCGTGGCCCAGGACCCGTTTCCCCCAGGACTGGCCACGCGCAGAGGGGCCGAAGGCCTTCCCTTCCCGTCCGAAGGCCCTCAATTCCCGTTCGAAGACCCGCCCTTCCCCGTCCGAAGGCCCCCCCTTTGTCATCCGAAGGCCCCCCCCTTCCCGTCCACGGACCGCCCCTTCCCGTCCGAAGACCGCCCCGTCCCTTCCGAAGGACCCCCCTTCCTGTCTGAAGGGCTCCCCCCCTTCCCGTCCGGAGGCTCCCGGGGGGAATGCTCCTTAGAAAAACCCTGCTTCTTAGAAGGCGTGGGCACAGTCTACAGAGGCAAAGCCGCCGCCTTCCGAGAAGCAGCCTCCTAAGATGCCTTTTCCCCTCCCCCCCTACCCTTATGATGTTCCAACCTATTTTATAACCTTGATCACCAGGAATAATCTCGAGCACCAGAACAAACACCGAAACTCGAGGGTTTCCACGTGTCGGGCCCTGGAAGACACTCGCCCGACGCTCTTTCGACACTCCTTCGACACTCTCTCGACGCTTTTCTGGGTGCTCGAAATCATTTCCGGGATGTGGTCCTTAAGTACGATGGGAGCAACTTAACCCTACCCACCCTGTGCGTGCCGCCAATCGCTTGGCAGCAAGGGGCAGGCTTCTTAGAAGGCGTGGGCGCTGTCTATAGAGGCAAAGCCGCCGCCTTCCAAGAAGCAGCCTCCTAAGATGCCTTTCCCCCTCCCCCCTGTCCCCCCGGTGCGTGCCGTCAATCGCTTGACAGCAGAGAGCAGGCTCGCGGAGTCCGGCGTCGCCGGTGGTGGCCCCGAGACGCCCGTCTTTCCCCGGGGAGGCCCCGGCGGCCCCCACAAGAGCACCCCCATTTGCGAGGCCTTTCTTCCACAGGACACCCCAAGGCGGCAGGAGTCGGTGGCCCCTCGTGAGCCCTTTCTCCCCTCCCCCCCACGCGTTCTCGCGGGGGTGGGGGGGGGGGTCGCTTCGTTCTGGGGCTCCCGAGCGGAGTGAACCCCCGTCCCCCCCCTTGGAAATCGCGGGGGGTGGGGAGCAGGGCTCACGTGTGGCCACCAAAGAAGAAAGTTGAAGCACCTTGGGCCAAGGTCACTCGCGGCAGCCTCAGACGGAGAATGGAGGGGGCCCTTTTCTGGTGGCCCCGAGGTCCGGGGTCCGAGCGGGTCCGCTTGTCGTCGTCGTCGTCGTGGAGGGTGGGTGTTCCTTTTTGACGGCCCCAGGGTTCAGGCTGGGCCCAAGGAGGTCAAGTCTATGAAAAGCAGACGTCGTGATCGCGACAGTCGTCGTCGTCGTCGTCGTCGCCGTTGGCGGCGCCGGCGGCGTTGTCGTCGTCACCGTCGCCGTCGTCGTCATCGTCTCGTCGTCTCCGTCGCCGTCGTCGCCGTCGTCGTCGCCGTTGTCGCCGTCGTCGTCGCCGTCGTCGCGGCCGTCGTCGCTGTCGCCGTCGTCGCCGTCGTCATTCTGGTCTCGGCGGTGGTGGTGGTTATGATGGTGATGGTAGTGGTGGTGGTCATCGTCGTCGTCGTCGTCGTCGTCGTCGTCGCCAGGTTCTTGCTCAGGGCCAGCGGCTGCGGCGTTCGCTCCGCCGCAACGGGCGCCGGGCGCGTGGTCGTGCACGGGCCTCCCCGGGAGGCGGCGGCCGCGCTGAAGGCGCCTCGTCGCTGGTCGCCGCCGCCGTCGTCGTCTCGAATCGGCAGCCACATGTGGTGGCCCGTTTTCCGCCGCCACCACCATCAGTAGGAGGGGGAGGGGGTCCTCTTCTTCCTCCTCCTCCTCCTCTTCGTCCTCCTCCTCCTCCTCCTCCTCATCATCCTCCACCTCCTTCCCCCCTCCAACTTATGGTGGTGGTGGTGGTGGTGGTAGAAAACAGGCCCATCAACATGCGAACTCTCCCCCTGCAGGCCAGATTTCTGAAACGCCAGCTGGGGTGTCCAGTACCTCGCGCTGAGGGTACCCGTACGGGTGGGGTTCGCAGGTGGTCGCAGATCGAAGATGCGGAAATATTTACGCACAACACACATATTGTTGGAGGTCCGCCTCGGGCGAGGGGATTCCAGCGCCGATCCGGAAAATCCTCTCGGGCCTCTGACAGTTTGTGCCTGTGCCGTATTTTGTTCCTCCGTCGTCGTCCTCGCCCTCGTCTTCGACGGGTATTCGGAGCAAGGCCCATCTTCGTTGGTGCTCCGAGGCTGGCCGCATCGCTAGCCGCCACCCTTTCAGGCACTGAGAAAGTAACGAATCGAACACAGCTCCTAGAGTCGCGACGTGGGCGACAACAATGACGAGGGCAATGACGATGACGACGACGACAACGGGCAGACGGCGTCTCCGCCGACACGGAGGAAGGCGAGGACGACAACAACGACACGGGCGACGACGAGTGCGGCAACGACGACGATGAGGGTGACAACGGCGCCCGCGTCCCGTAACATGCAGTCGTCGTCATCGTGTCGTCGTCGTCGTCGTCGTCGTGCAGGTCCACCTCCCTCCTCCTCCCTCCCACCTCACCCTCCTCCTCGCCCTCTTCTCTATCCTCCCCCTACCCCATCCTCCCTCCTCTGTCCTCCTCTGTCCTCCTCCTCCTCCTCCTCCTCCTCCTCCTCCTCCTCCTCCTCCTACTCGTCCTCCCGGCCGCCCGTCTTCTCGCTCCAGGCCTGCCCATTCCATCGTTGCGCGCGCGCCTCCCCTCCTCCCTGAATGGGGAGGAACGGGGCGGGGTCGCAGGAAGCACATCGTCCCCCCCCCCCCCCACCACTCTTCCTGCCCAGAGCCGATGCGGACTTGCCTCGGGGTGGCCCTCATGGTGTACGGCACGTGCGCCCGCAATCACTTTGCACCAGTTTTGGCCGGCGATTGTGTTCCTGCGCGTATCAGGCGATGTGCTGTCCTCCCGCCGCCCATGTCAAACATTGAGATGCTAAGTGATCGCAGGAAGCCCCGCGGACGGTCCGCAGAGTGTATGTTACATGGCTTTTGACACAGGGATTGCGCGTGAGGGGGTCGGCGTGGCTTCGAGAAGGCAGCTGGTTGAGTTTGGGAGGGGGCGGGCACGTAGTCAGACGGGGAAGAGGGAAGCCCTTTCTGAAGGGGAAGAAGGGGGGGGTGGACGGACGAGCTTGCTAAGCCACTCACGTCCTCAAGGGCTCGTGCGATTAGGGCGTTCAAGGGCCTTACATCCTTTCCGCGCATCCTCATGATCCGATCGCACAGTATCTGGGGTGCCGTCTTCTGCCTCTGAGTCTGAGCGTGCACCCGTGGCGTGCCGTGATCATCCCCGCACAATAGGGCGTTGGGGAAAAAGCTCCGCGAGGGAGCACGAGCTCGCGCCCCGAGCGTGTTGCTCGGTCTTGGTTTCCGAACCACAGTCGAGACCGATTCTCAGGTCGACCCTGCCAACTCCAGGGCACCCTTTTTGTGTCCTGAGCCTCGCGACCCACGTCTCCTCACACTCCTGTGGCAGTGTGGCCCTCGGGAGGGCCTTTTTGTCCTCTCGCGTGTCCTCTCCAATCGCCCGCCGCTGGCGCCTTCGCCTGCGGCCGTAAAAAAAGAAGAAGTGTCCTCTCCAGTCAGTCCCGACTGTACCTTGGCCCCCGGAAGCCCCGGCCCTGTCCCGCTGGGCGTGGCTGCTCCTCCCGAGCCCGTTCTCTGACCGCCCCCGCGGCCGGGCGAGGGGCCCCCTTCCATGGGCCGATAAAAGCGGCCAATAGAGAGGCCGGCGGCCACGGCGCGAGCCCTGCCTCCGGGGCCCTCCTTCAAACGACGCGAAGATCGGGACAAAATCGGATCGGGATAACTCGAAATCTCTGAGAATCGGCGGGTTTGGAGGATGTATTGGGCGCCGCGGCCGCTCCAGAGCGTTCCGGAACGCTCTGAGAGCGCTCCGGAACGCTCTGGAGCGATTTATCCCGATCCTAGCCCTGTTTTACTCCTTCCCTGCGGGCAGGCGCTCGCACCGCCACCGTGCCCGGGCTGTATGCCGACCCTCCTCCTGCACGAGCGACCTGGGCACGAAAAGGAATGGGCACTATGCCCAACGGCGGATCTTGTGCATTCTGAACGGGACTCGCCGTCCACGCCGCCGCGGCCTGCGGCCATTCGAGGCAGAAGGCCGCCTGCCCAGCAGCGGCCGCTGTGGGTTTGGGACAGCATGCGTTGTTGGGCATTGTGCCCATTCTTTCCGTACTCCAGATTTCGTAATAAAAGGGAGGGGGTCTGGACCCTCCAAGACAAGCCATTTCAGACCTCCCCCGTGGGAGAACCCTCTAAAACATCGTCCCCAGACCCCCCAGGCCCTCCAAGATAGCCTGGAAGAGACCCCCCCCCGAAATGAGACCCCCCTCCCTTTCTTGCGAAAGCTGGAGTACCCACGTCGGGCGTCCAAACTCCTGGCCTCGGCCAGGAGGGCGCGCGCACGCCCCGCGCCGGGGCCAGGGCCCAGGCGGCGGCGCGCCCAGCGGGCGGGCCCGCCGATCTGGTTGCCTCCTGCCGCGTTGCCACCGTGGCGGGCCTCTCGGGAGGCCCTCGTCTGCAGCACTGGCTGCGCCGCGAGATGATGGCCAGAACGCCCCCAGGGAAGAGCTCGGGGAGCGGCGGTATCGGGTACCTTGAGTTTTTGATTTTGTCCGGGCCATAATGCGCGTGATGCTCCACCCCCCCCCATCCCCCCCTCGTAAACGCCACGATTCCCTCCCAGTGCGTCCCGAGCAACGCCGCACTGCGTCCGGCACCACAGTCTGTCACGGTTGGGGGCGGGGACGTTACATTATGCGCCGCGACAAAATGTACTATATATTTTGTTGTTGTTCCCAGCAGAAGGGGCGAATTTTCTCACAAGGTTGAGATGCCCCTGGCCTTCTGGGGAGCTTTCTAAACTCTGTCCCCCGACGTCCGACGTCCGACGACGGACGTCCGACGATCGACGATAGGAGTTCTTCGACCTGGCGGTTTTTCGTCGAGTTGGGCTCGGGGCTCAAGAGACGGGGGTCAATGCAACGGGGGTCAGCCCGGAGCCGGGCCGCGGGGTCACCAAAAGTGGATATGGGGCGGCGAGGACTTGGCCCAGGGAAGGGGTCGGGACCTCTGGGGCCACGCCTTGGACAAGTGATCACGTCGTCTGACGTGTGGGTCTGGGAGCTTCTCTCGAAGAAGAAGAAACAGCAGCATGGGCAGAAACTTTTGGCACCCCGCGTTGCTTACTTGGATCGGCGCATGGGCCCACACGTTGGCGCCTCTGGCGCCGCCCCTGGCGCGCTCCGCGCGCCAGGGAGGGGTGTCCAGCGCAGATGCAAGAAGTCCGCGCGGAGCGCCAAAAGTTTATGTTTATGGCGTTTTTTCTTCGTCTTCTCACATCGTCGGATGTCTGGGTCTAGAGCCACAGGGGGGCTTCTCGGAAGACCGAAGGGCTGCTGAGACGCCCCGCCTTTTCTGAGAGTGCCTGGCCCCTTTCGTTTTCCCCCCTCGCAGGCATCCGACGTCTGGAGTTCCTCAAAGGGTCCCCGGAGTCTGGACCTTTCCTCCTCGGTCGGCTCTTCAGCCAGGATCGTTTTTGTTGACGGTGGCCGTTTTTGTTGACGGTCCCAGGGCCCGGCGAGTACCCCCCGGGGCCGAGAATTGACAAACACTTCCGCGTTGGTGATCGTGTTCTTTATTCCCCAATCAGTGCTTGCACTGAAGGGGTCCTAGCGGAATTGCCGCCGATTATGGTAGCAGGCTGGGTTCCCGGTTCCGGGTTCCCAGGTTCCCCGTTGTTGTTTTTGGGCCGATTTCGGTGGGTTCTGGGTTCCCGGGTTCCTGGGTTCCCGGCCGATCTCCTCTGCGAAAGCCATCCACTGATTGGGCCTTTTCTCTGGTGTAATTCATTGTTTGAGCCCGTTCCTTCGTTGCTTCGGGCATGACGGGCGCCATGGCCCCCGCTCCCCCCCCCTATGACGTAACGCCCCCCCCCCAGTGCGCTCTGGGCGCAGCCGCCGTGCGCATTGGGATCCGCGCAGGTGTCCGCGTCGGAATCCACATACGAGTCTGGTCCGCCGTCGTCGTCGTCGTCGTCGTCGTCGTCGTCGTTGTCGTCGCTTGTGGCTTGTCGCTCGTCGCTCATAGTCGTCGTGCGCGCGGACGCGGCTGAAGCCTGTTTTGTATTCTGGGCCGACGACGGCAATCATTTAGGGGGGGGTGGAAGGGGTCGATGACGTCACGTTTCGCGCCAGCGGCGTCTGGGAATGCTTAGAAATGACGGAGGACAGGTAGCGCCAGCATGTGGGTGGTGATTTGCACCACAACGCTTGTGTACACCACAATGCCTGCGTGCACCACAGCGCCTGTGTACACGACACCGCCTATGTACACCACAGCAGCCGCGTGCAACACAGCGTCAGTTTGTGCCACCGTGCTTGCTGGCACAACAACTCTTGTGCACACCACAGCGCATGCGTACACCACATGAGCCGTGTGCAACACAGCACCAGCGTACACAATGCCTGCGTGCATTGCGCTGCCTGTGCACACCACGGCGCCTGTGTGCACCGCAGCAACCGTGTGTAACACAGCACCACTGTTGTATATAGAATGTTAGACCGAATCCTTATGACAAAATGGAACGCTTGTGGCTTCCACAGAAAACAACATAAACTAATACTTATGGACAACGCAGCGCCGCTGGAGTCCTCCCGAGTCCGCCCGCATCACCCTAACTCCTCCCGTCTGCGTCCAGGAGGCTCCGACTGAATTGGCCGTCCGAGAGCCAAGTGGACCGATTCAATCGACCATTTTGTTGTGCGCGCTGAGATGCGCACGTGCGCTGTAGCGCCAACCCGCGCGACAGAGGGTAAGGAGGAGGAGGAGGAGGTGGAGGAGGAGGGAGGATGGAAAAACGTCGCATTTGAATATCTGCACTTTCCTGGCGTGGCGTCTAGTTGTCCGCAGCAGATCCTCACGTACATGCTCCTTCTACCTGTCTTATGCACGCAGGCATTTTGGTGTACACCAACGCTGCGTTGCACGCGGATGCTGTGGTGTAGACACGCGCTGTGGCGTGCACAGGCGTTGCGGTGCACGCAAGCATTGTGGTGTACACAGGCGCTGTGTTGCGCTGCGTTGCACACGGTTGCTGCGGTGTACGCAGGCGCTGTGGTAGACACGCGCGCTGTGGTGCACGCGAGCGTTGTGATGTACACAGGCGCAGTGGGGCATATCGCCACCTACATGCTGCTAACGTAGTCGTCGTCGCCGTCGCCGTTGTTGTCGTCGTCGTCGTCGTCGTCGCTCGTCGTTCGTCGCTCGTCCCGTCGCGCGCGCGGGCGCGGCTGCGGTGCTGGAGCCAAACGGCAGGGGGGGCGTTACTTCATGCCCCCCCTCGCCCTCCTTCCCCCCATGACGCCCATCATCGCCGAACATAAAAAAACGCGTTCTTATGCCGATCGGCGCAAAGCCCTCGCCCCCCCCTCCCATCCCCCATGGAGAACATCTTGGCTGTTGTCTGGCGCCTGTTTCGAGCAGGTGGGGTCTCCCCCATATGGCGCACTGCTGCAAACAGTGGCAGTAAGCAGTGGTCCGGAGCCAGACCCCAGACCTTCCGCCCAATGTCGTTACAAACGCCGTGCGTGAAGGAGAACGTCCACTCGAGCTGCCTCCCGGAAGCTGCGAGAGGCCTCCGCGCTGAGGTTCTCGATGGCCCTGTGTAGGGCCTGGGCCGAGAACGGCCCCAGCCGGGCGCGGCGGCGCGGTGCAGACTCGGGAGCTTCGACACGAGCAGGAGGAGGAGGAGATTGAGGAGGGGGAGGGGGAGGAGGAGGAGGAGAGGAGGAGGAGGAGGAGGAGGAGGAGGAGGAGGAGCAGGAGGAGGAGGCGGAGGAGGAGGAGGAGGAAGACGAGGAGGAAGAGGAGGAGGAGGAGGAGGAGGAGGAGGAGGAAGAGGTCGGGGGTCGATGCAAACGGGGGTCAGCGCCAGAGCGCCAGATCCTGCAGGATGCTGCAGAGCCAGGGCTGCGTTGACCCGGAGGTGCAGCATCCTGCAGGATCCTACAGGATCCTGCAGGATGTTGCGGAGCCTGTTCGGGGGCTCTGGGACGGGGGTCGATGCAGCAAACGGGGGTCAGCACCAGAGCGCCAGATCCTGCAGGATGCTGCAGGGCCAGGGCTGCGTTGACCCGGATGCGCAGCATCCTGCAGGATCCGGCAGGACGCTGCAGGACGCTGCGAAGCCTGGCCGTCCGGGTTTGCACTGACCCGGGCCAGTGCGTCCGCGACAGATGCCCTCTGCGTGCCTCCCTGAGAGTGTTCTGTTGAGCCCTCTAGGCCATTACATGCGCGTTCTGCCATCTCGCGCGTTATGTCCTTTCCCCTCCCCCCCGCTCCCCCCCCCTCCTGACGTAACGCTCCCCCCCCCCTCGGTGCGTCCCTGGCACTGCCGCCGTACGTCGGGCACCACAGTCTTTGGGGGCTCCGCGCGGATCTCTTGGATCCGCGCTCGGGCCCTCCTGGCGGCCCTTCCGGCGCCGCCCCTGGCGCGCTCCGCGCGCCAGGGAGGGGGGTCTGGGCGCAGATCCAAGAAATCCGCGCGGAGCGCCAACAGTTTATGCTTATGGCGTTTGTTTTCTCCTGCTGCCATCCCCCTCCCCCCAGAACGCCCAGTATTCGCCGAGCGCGTTCCACTGCTCGCAAAGTGCCTACTCGCAAACGTCCGAAAAACCATGCGCCTGCCTTTGTGCAATGTATCGTGGATCCCCCGCGGCGGATCCATGCCCTTTGCGAGTAGTTACTCTGCGAGTAGTGGAACGCTTCGGGGGTGGACAGACCTCCTACCCTGACACGTCGATCAAGGAATTAGCCGTTTCGGTTCGCGAGAGGGCCTCGCGGCCGTCATTTTCGAGGGTCCGGGTGCGTCGGTTTCGGTCCCAGGCCGTTTTCCCTAGAGGGAGGTTTACCGAAGGGAGGTGTGTCCACCGCCGAGCGCGCTCGTCCAACTCTGGGCGCGATAAGCAACAAAATGCGCTCCCCACGGATCGTGGATCTACTAGTTTGTCCAATGTATCCTGGATCCCCCGCGGCGGATCCATGCCCTTTGCGAGTAGTTGGTCTGCGAGTGGTGCAGCGCGCTCGTCCAACTGTGGCCGCGATAAGCAAAAAACAAGGCGCTCCCCACGGATCGTGGATCTACTAGTTTGTCCAATGTATCCTGGATCCCCCGCGGCCTTATCCATGCCATTTGCGAGCAGTTCGTCTGCGAGTGGGGGAGCGCGCTCGTCCGACTGTGGCCGCGATAAGCAACAAAAAAGGCGCTCCCCACGAGGCACCGGCCAGGTCCTTCCCGGCGCTGGTGCTGGGCAGGGGCAGCGCCAGCGTGCCGCGGCCTCGGGCGCGTGCGATCGGCCGCCGCGGGGGCCCCGCTGTTGTGCCCGTCTCTCGGCGGGGGCCGTGGGCTCTCGGCGTAAAAGTCGGGCATGGCCCTCTGCGGGAGGAACAGTCAAAGACAATTGTTGAAAACATAGCCCGGGGACGATGTTTCGATGATTGCTGTAGCATGTGTTCCATATTCTTGGCTATCATTCCACCTTTCGTCCAAACGCCGCCAGCAGGGGGACACGCCCGACCTAATTCTAGGCGTCCAGGATGGCGCCGGAGTAGACTTAAGTCGGGCGTGTCCCTCTGCAGGAGGCATATACAAAAATAGTCCCCAAAAATAGTCTGGGAACAATGTTTCCATTATCTTTTGACTATGTTTGAGTACTTGTTGTGACTTTTGGGAGCTTTTCCTCCCAAATCCGCCTGTAGGATGACATGCCCGACCTGAGAGTAGACGGGGTTGGGGGATCGCGCCGCTTCGCCGATGCATCGACGATGCGGCGCGATGCATTGGTCTATGCCCGAATTGCTTCCATGCCGACGTCGCCGATGCAGTGGCGATGCGGCGCGATCCTCCGACCCCATCTACTCGGACCCACTTTAGGGACCGAGAAAGATGTGTAACCGAAAGAGGGTCCGAAATTGCCACTTGGAAGGTCATGTGACCAACATGTCTGCCGAACTTGAAGATATGCTCGGTCGCACTCGGGCGTGTTCGGAAAAAGCGGGCGCTGGTCTCGGTCACATGCGGGCAGATTTTCGGACGCAGCTTCGGCCTTACACCCTGTGATGAAGGCGAGGCCACGCGATCGGTGCGACCGTTGTGGGGGCGGGAGGGATGGGGACGAGAGCTAGCAGTCAGAGGAGGAGCACGTATTCGTTGCCGCCGCCTTTTGCATCGTTGTCGCATGTTTTTTTGCCTCATGGGAGGCCCTCGCCGCCACGACAGGGTTCGCCTCGAAGTTCTAGTCAGAACGTCTCCCTGGAGAGTCCAGGGAGTAGCGGCATCGGTACCTTCTGGTTTCCCCACCCAACGCAGGGTGTGTGTGTGTGTGTACCTCTAGGGGAACGAACAATGGCATACGCAACAACTTGAAGGCCCGCGCGGATCCGAGAAACCCGCGAAGACCTCCGAGCTTTTCTGCTGATGTCATTTGCCCTTCCCTCGGTGCACCTCTGGGCGAGTGATGTTGCTGATCGCGTGTGGGCGGATCCAGTACAGTCAAACACCCTAAGAAGGACGCGCGACTTTGCTCAGGGTACCCTTGCGTCCTTGCTCTTCCTTGCTCTTGCGGCTCGTCCTTGGCCTCTTTCGCTCGCCCGCTTACGGGGTTTTCGTCGTCCGCCGCCCCAAGAATCTCAACTTCGGCTTCAAGGGTCTTGCGTCCTTGCCGCGCGTCCTTATTAGGGTTTTTGACTGCATCTCCACGCCGCGTGATCCGGGCCGGCCGCGCGCGCCTCCTCGCCCCATCCTTCCTCTGCCGCGCCGCGCCGCGCGCGGGCGGCCGCGGCGCCGCCGAGTCTGCGCGCTCCTGGGCGCCACAGCTGCGGCTGTGGGCTCGACTCTCCCTCTCGGCAACCGCGCGCCGCCGTCGGCCCGCGAGACTCCATGCCGCGTGCTGCGCCCCCGCCTCGGCCGCGCGCCCGCGGGGCGCCCCCGCTCGGCCGCCCTCCTGCGCCCGGCGTAGCGCCCGCGGGGCCCTCTGCCCGCTGAGGCGGCCCGCCGCTCCCCCCCCCCGCCGCCCCGCCGCCGCCCGCCCCCCGCTCCCCGCCGCCTCCCGCGGCCCGCCGCCCCCCCCGCCGCTGCCCCGGGAAGGCCCAGCGCTTTTCCCCGCTCTATGCAGTGCCGTTCATAATACATGTTCCGCGTGCGGATCATGGCTTAAAAACGCAGGGGATTAGTATTGAAAACCACGATGAGCTCGTGCAGAAAATTATTCATATATATATATATATAGAATCATGTCTTAAAAGTCCTACATTGATTTTAAATCCTATGTATCAGCAACTGCCCTGTACTCACCAGAGACTACCCAGTGCCGCTGCCACCAGCCTGGGCGGGGTGCCTGTCCCACCCTCCCGAGCGGATGGCACCTCGTTCCGGGCCTGCCTCCAGCGAGAGTGCCCTCGGGAGGAGGCGTGCCGGCCCGAGGGGAGGGAGCGCGGCCGCCCCCGGCGGAGGAGGAGGAGGAGGAGGAGGAGGAGGAGGAGGAGGAGGAGGAGGAGGAGGAGGAGGAGGAGGAGGAGTAGGAGTAAGAAGAGGAGGAGGAGGAGGAGGAGGAGGAGGAGGAGGGAGGAGGAGGAGGAGGAGGAGGAGGAGGAGGAGTAGTAAGAGGCGGAGGGGAGGGAGGCGAGCCGGCGGCAGTGGTGCTTATCTGTCTCTCCTGAGCTATGCGCACCCCCTGGCCTGCAGGGCGTCTTCGGGTGCCTCACCCCGCCCGGGCGGCACTTCGCTTCGCCGGGCGCGGTCTTTTTCCGAGCGTGCGAGCGGCGCTCTTCCGCCCCCGCCCCGCGCGCGCCCCGGAAGTGTCGCAGAGCCCTACACGGCGAGTCGCCGCCGCCTCCTGCCTTCTTCGCGGAAGCGCCCATGTGGCCGAAAGTCGGGCTAGAGCTCGGCCGAGCCATCGGACCAGGTGGTCCCCCAGCCGTCGTTGCAACCCTTCGGGGAGCACGTGAGGAAAAGAATGAGGAGAAGGAGGACCGTCTCGGGGTCCTCTTGGGGCGCTTCAGGGGTATCTTGGAGGCCATCTTGGGCGTCACGAGAGGCCCTCTTGGGCCGTCTCGGGCTGGCCGTCTTGGGGGCCTCGTCTTGGGCCATCCTGGTGCCATGTTGGAGTGCCCTTTGACGCTCTGGGGGCGATCTTGGAGGCCTCTTGGGCCGTCATAGGCCTTCGGAAGGCCGAAAAGAAGCGACTGCCAACATCAATCAAAAACCAATGCTGAATCAATGATTTGGGCTTCTTCGCCTTTCCTGAAGAGCCTCTTGGAGGCCTCGTGGGCCGTTTGGGGCCATTTGGGAGCCCGTTTGAGCTGTCTTGGTGGCTTCTTGGGCGGACTTGGAAGCACCTTGGACCTTCGCAGCCCGCCTTGGAGACCAGCTCGGACCATCTTTGGTGACCGTGGAGGCTTTCTTAGGCCATCTTAGCAGTCTTAGAGGCCCTCTGGGGTCCAAGTTGCACGGGAAGACCAACGGGCGATGCAATTTCTGGATGGCCGGGGCGTTGTGCCGAAGCCCCAGGGGGAGGTCTAAAAGAACAAACAACACCTGAACCTCAGAACGCCAGGCACCCCTGTGGCAAAACCGCAGGGTGCGGCGGATCTGGTGGCCTTGGGCCCATCCCGCCACCGTGCTTGGGTTGTAGGTCCGAGGCCTGGACTTTAGTAGAGCCGTTCTGATTGGCTTCAGGAGGGAGCCGATGGTACAAAATGGTCCGATGGGTGCCAGGAGGTGGGCTTGGGTCCCTTCAGTGCCAGGGGAACAGGCGGATCTTCCTATATCTGCAACGGGGCAGCAGTGACATGCACGGCATCATACGCTTGCCTGGGAGGGGGGGCTCAGCCTCACAAGGAGAAGTGCGTGGGCTGAACGACAACGCGGCCAGTGCACGCTTGCCGCTGCGAACGCAGTGGCGGACGGACACGCCATGACATCCAGCCTCATGACCGAGGCCCTGCCAGAGTTGTGCCCTAGGTGAGCTCGATCGGCCGAGACGCACCATTTGTGTGAATCGAGGGAAGAAGCAAGATGACCATGACCAAGAAGACGCGGGATCGTGCCGACGCCGATCTTGGTCATGGTCCATGGCGGCCGTCGCCGATTCGCGAGGGTGATCCCCATTGGACGATGACCAAAGCTCGACACCGACGCTTCCGAGTTCAGTTGTTGCCATGGTCCTGGTCCCTAGTCCCTCCAGGGAAAGCGCTACGAAATCCAGCCACATGGCCGAGGCCCTGCCAGAGTTGTGCCCCGCATGAACCCCTGGTCGGACGAGCGACGCCGCCCGTGGGAGGGGCAGCACAGGTTCTGGCAGAGATTGCTGGTGGACACCACCTTCGCGGCGCTGTCAAGGGAGCACATGGTGATCGAGGCGCGCCTCTTGTCGGTCAGCCACGCGCAGGGGTGGTATGGGGGAGGGGGGAAGGCTTCTCAGAAGCACACCCCTGCTTCTTTGAAGGCGCTGGCCTCATCTATAGAGATGTGAGGCTGGCGCCTTTGAGGCAGCAGCCTCCTAAGAAGCCTTACCCCCCTCCCGCTAATCCCTCGTGTGCGCCGCCAACTCCTGTCGGGCCGGCGCGGCATCCGTCCCGGCAGCAGGCCATCGACTGGGTAGTCGAAGGCCAGACTGTCAGATTGGATGGGGCCCCAAGGGCCAATCTGGCCCGGCCAAACTGGGTGATTTGGGTTGTTCGCCAGACTGGATTCGCGTTGGCTCCCTCGCCAGATTGCCCCCGTTTGCCAGATTGGGCCTGCCAGATTGGCGCCAGATTGGCTTCGACTACCCAGATCGAGGGGAAGTCAGAACCCATCGGCGAGCGCCCTCCTCCGAGCCCGCTGCCAACACAGGGCCGCAGAGAGAGCGCCGTGTCTGCCTCGTACCGGGATCCCCGCCGTGCTTTCCAGCCCGCACTTGTGTTTCGGTTCGGGCCTCCAGGGCCCGTAGTTGGCCCAGGGACCACCCAAATTGAACCAACCCCAGGGAAGGGTTCGGGACCTCTTGGGCCGCGCATTGAAACAATCACCATCGTCGGATGTCCGGGCATGTCGAGCGGGCGGTGGTTCTTTCAGCATCCGCGGTTCCCCCCCTCTGAGCCCTGCCGCTTCCTCCACATCAGCTTCCTCCTCCTCCTCGCGTATTGATGTCGGCAGGCCGTCTCTGCCCCATGCCAGCCTTTCGATGCACTTGCGGCCCACGCCCAGTCCAACTACTGTTCCGCAGTGAGGCCTTGCCGACAGGCTTCTCGTCGCGAGGACCTCACGGCCCGTGCGCCGACCTTGAACTGGGACAGCGATGAGGACGACGGCGGCGACGACGACGCTCGCGAGCGAGCCCCCGCGGGGGCCCTGTGGGTCCTGTTTGCCTCGGGACGCCCCCCCCACCCCGGGACCTCCTTCAGGGACCGTCCCCAGCGATCTCCCCCAGGCTTCCATTCAACTCGATTGGTGTTCCCCCTTTGCGCTTCTGGGGGGCTCTACGACGTGGTTCGACTCCCGGTTGGCTAGATCGCCTGAGGACGAGGGCCCAAGGAAAGGGGGAGAGTGGCGACGGCGACGACGACGACGACTCAAACGGAAAAGGGTAGCGGCGATGGCGATCGCCTCACACACGCCGATAGGGTCGGCGGATCTTTGTTGAAGAGCCCGTGGGTACGAGTCTGCGCCGACTGGCCCACCCTGGGTTCCTTTGATTTAGTTTCTTGGTTTCTTGGTCTTGGTTCCTTGGTTTTGGCTATTTTATTCCTTTGTCCTGGTTCCTTGGTCCTGGGTCATGAGTGATTGTTTCCTTGGTCTTGGTTCTGTGGTTCCTTGGTCTTGACCCTTTACTGCCTCGCCACGCAATGCCAAGAAACGCGAAGCAATGCAACGTAATGCCACGAAATGCCAAGCAATGCCACGAAATGCCGAGCAATGCCACGCAATGCCGAGCAATGCCACGCAATGCCACACTGAGACAATGCCAAGCAACGTCAAGCAATATGCCAAGCAATGCCACGCAACGCGCCCATGCAGTATGAAGCTTTCTCCTAATCGGGGTCGCGCCGGGCTTATTTCGATTGCATACTCGTTAGTGGTTGGTATGCGACACGCGCGTTTTATTTCGTGTTTCCACCACAAACCAGGTGGTCGCGGAGGTGTCGGTCAGAGAAGACTGAGAGCAGAACGCTGGCAGTCTGGACTCGTGCCTCGAGACCTGGCTGGAGGGCACACCGACTCCGGGTGGTTCATGCCGCCCGATGATCTGCTGTTCCAGCTGACCAAGTTTCGCCTGCGCCAGCGTCTACGCCTGCGCTCATGCCAGCGCGATCGCCTTCTCCTGCGCCTGCGCCAACGCCACCAAATGGCTCCTCAGGCCCCTTGGCTACACCAGCGCCAACTGAAGGCATGGCTCCGCAGACCTGCCAGAGATCCCAACGTCGGCCAGTGTCCAGTCGGTCGGAAACGGTGGCTCCGTCGGACACATGCGTCGTTGCCGCCACTGCGGACAACCTCGCAGAAGCGCCTGCCGTTCACGTCGTCGTGCTGGACACTCGTCGTGGCAGGGGCGACGTCAGTGGACATTCTGCCAGGCACCCTGGCGGACAGCTCGGCGGGCCACCGCCTTCTGCCCGGTGGTGGTGACAGACGCCAACGAATGGCGGGCTGGGAGGAGGAGGAGGCGGCGGCGGAGGAGGAGCAGGGGGCGGAGGAGGAGGAGGAGGAGGAGGCGAAGGAGGAGGAGGAGGAGGAGGAGGCGAAGGAGGAGGAGCCACGAGGGAGGCAGGAGGAGAGGCAATCCAGAGGCGTTGTTGGTCGCCCTGCAGGCTCTGGGACGGTCCTCTGGTCTGGCTGCGGGACGGCCCTGCCTCCGCCGGCGCGGACGCGAGGGGCATGCGGCCGAGATCGGAGGGAGGGCCGGTGGAGGCAGCGGCGGCTCTCCCACCCGGCCCCCTGTGCGTGCCCCGGAGCCTCCCGGTTGCACGAGGCGGGCCCATGGGCGTGGCGAGAGGTCTCCGAGAGGCGCACGGAGGAGGAAGAGCGCGAGGCAGGGCCGGACCTGAACGGTGTTTTATAAAGATCTGTCGTGGGCCGTTTCCGCTCCGGCTCCGTTTTGCCGTCGAGGCGGACTGAAGATACGACGAGGGAAATTGAGAATAACACGAAAACGCAAAACATCGTTGAGGTTCAGCCCTGGCGCGAGAGAGGGCTGCCGTTGTCTGGACTGGCCCTCGCCCGACAGAAGGCAGCGACGACGGTGGGTCCAGCAGCACGCTGGGCCGGGTTGCGACGGCGGGCCCGGCAGCGACGTCGACGGTATTGACAGCAACGACGATAGCAAGGCGTGAGTCGCGCGAGCGTGAAAGACGACCCGCACGTGCTGACCTTGAGAGGCGAATGCTCGGACACTGGGGTGCCCTCCGACTGCGGCCTCCTCTGATCACTCTTCAGCGACCAGGACCCTGCAGCTCGAAGTTCCAGAGACAGCATAAGCATGCCCTTCCGGAGCCCTGGGAGAATTTCTTGGATCGGCGCTGTCCTCCCCCTGGCGCGCTCCGCGCGACAGCGAGGGGGGTCCAGCGCAGCTCCAAGAAATCCGCGCGGGCGTCCAAAAGGTTATGTCTATGCCATTATGCTGTTGTGCCAGACAAGGGCCCTGCAGCGACAAAAATGGTATGGCCCCAGGTTGGCGCCGGGAGGCCCACCCAGTAAGATATCCTGCTCGCTGCGCGCACGAAGGTCGTATCAACACCGCCTGGAGCAATAAGCGTTGGGAGTGATGTGTTGCCTTGTGTGAGCCCTGGGCTGTTCGCCGTTTTTGGTCTGTCTTCCACTGTCTCTCGCTTGTGCAGCACCCGCTCTCGCGACTTCTCCCCGGCGTCCCCTCGCTGCGCAGGCCTGCAGCCCCAGCCGCGCCGGGGAGCTCGCCGGCGTGTGCGTGAAGAACCTGAGCGCCACGCACCCGATCCGTGTGAGCAAGAGCGCCGAGGTGGTCGGGAGTAAGAGTTGAGTCGGAGGGCTCGAGGTTGACACCAACACCAATAGCGGTGGTGTGCCTCCACCGAGGGAAGAAAACCCCGATCTCGGTGATGGTGGTAATTTTCGGTCTCGTATAGGTGGCCGAAAGACTACCACCAACACCGAGTTCCACGATCATCGTCCCCCAGTTGAGGCCTGCCCGTGTGTCGGTGTTGGTGCCCATTTCCAGGCCTCCAAAGTCGGAGGGACGGAACAGGGTGAGGGGGAAGATTATCAGCGGAGTGCCAGTTGGAGACAGCGGCTGTGACGGCCTTCGGGGGGTCACCTCGTCGCCGCGGCAGGGCGCATGCTCTGCAAAAACTCGGGCGCCCGGACCCCGGGAGGGGTCCGGGGTCCGGCTTTTTGAGCGGCCGTGGTCCAGGCTCGCCCCGCTCCGAGCGGCGGAACGGGGGTGGCGACCCTGACTTTCCAGGAGGGCTCAAAAAAATAGCACCAGGACGTCGACGTCCTAATTCCTGTCGAGGTTTGAGGCAGTCCAGATAGATCTATAGGTCCGGAGTGCTGTTTTTTAGCACTCTGGAAGGTCAGGAGAGAAGGGGTGGAGCAGGAGGGAACGACAGGGATGGGATGAGGGATGGGGCAGAGGAGACAGCCGACCTGGCCGACGCGGCATCGGGAAGCGGGCGGGCACCAGGAGGAGGTGGATAGACGCAGGACCGGGAGCCTCGAGACGGGGGTCAGTGCAAACGGGGGTCAGCCAGGGCACCGGATCCTACAGGATCCTGCGAAGACCCCCTCTGGCTGACCCAGGTTAGCGAGCCGCTCGTGGCCGCGAGGCGGCCGCGCATAATATTGGCTGACCCCGGGTTTGCGAAGACCTGCGTTGCAGTTTTTGTTTTCCTGCATTGCAGTTTTTTGGTTTCCTGCTGACCCGGGTCTGGATTGACCCGGGTCAGAAGACACCCGACAGGAGGGATGGGAGGGAAAGACCCTGACCTTCCAGGAGTGCAAAAAAATAGCACCAGGACGTCGACGTCCTAATTCCTGTCGAGGTTTGAGGCAGTCCAGATAGATCTATAGGTCTGGAGTGCTGTTTTTTAGCGCTCTTGAAGGTCAGGGGAGGCGGGGTAGAAGGGAGGGGGGAAGGGAGGGCACGGGCAGGAGGAGTTCCCGGGACGTCTTGGGCTCTCATCCTCTTCCTCCCTCTTTGAGGGGGGCAGGAGGAGGAGGAGGAGGAGGAGGAGGAGGAGGAGGAGGAGGAGGAGGAGGAGGATGGAGGTGGTGGAGTCCGGCAGCGGCATGAGAAGGTCGACGGTGGGGGTGGCCATGGGAGAGCAAGGGAGAGGCGGGGTGAGAAGGAGAGCGGAGGGAGTCTGACGAGGAAGAGGTCATGATGTATGGTATCGATACCGTCTAAGGTCTCCAGGTCGTCCTAATTCACAGCTCGGGGTCCAGTGGCGAGGGCCGCCAGAATCTCTTGGAGCTCCCTGAACGTATCCCAATCCAATCACATCATGACATCATGATCGTCCTCGGGAAGTGGGGGAGGAGCCGGAATTTACAGCGGCCTGCGAAAAGCAATGGTTTGTCCGCGCCGTCGTCTATCGAGGATCTAGAATTTCAGTTGTCTTTTTGATAGTTCGCGGGCACTACAGTCAACACGCACATTAAGCATGAGCAATTTTCCATCCTTGCATCCTTCCCCTTCTGCCCATCCTAATTATCCTTGGCCGTTTTCCCTGGCCACGCCCCGCTCGCAAAGTGTCGACATGGCCTTCCAGAACGCTTGCATACTTATCATGATTCCTCATTCTACGGGTTGACTGTAGTGGGCCCGAGATGCCTTGCATTGCGTCCTTGCGAGGGTAGATCGCCCGAAGGGGCGCGGAAGGGGCTGCAGACCTGTCCTTCTTCAGGCAGGCCGCACGAGAGCGCGAAGATAACCGCGCCTCGCGTGGCGCCGATGGCAAAGTTGGGCCACCCGGGTAAGGAGGATATGATGCGCGCAGAGGGGAGGGGTGGGGAAGGCAGCAGGGCTTCTTGGACTCCCTCCAGGCTTCCAAGACGCCTTTTGTAAGTCCCGGAACGGTGCGGTGATCACACCGTCTGGTGAGTCGGTGGGGATTCGGCGTGACCGCGCGCACGGTTTCGGGACTCGGGTCGTTCTCCAGGGACGTCTCGGGCGGCCGGGGCCGCCAGGTACAGGGCTGAAAACTACAGCACCATCTCCCTCACCCCCTCCCACTCCCAGGAATGAGGAGAGGAAGAGGAGGGTGGATTACGTTGCATCTTCGGGGGGCGTCGCCTGTCCCCCAGATTGGTGTCTTCTCTTGTGCCCGACGCGGGCTCGACGCGGACTCGACGCAGATTTGGTGTGGATTCGACGCGGGCTCGACAGGGATTCGACACGGATCCGACGAGGCCGACATGGATTTGACGCGGATGGTGCCGCGACGGGACAGACAAGGTCCCCCGAGGATGCAACAGAAGGTAGAGGAGGGAGAGGGAATGGAGGTGGTGGTGGTGGTGGTGGTGCATATCCTTGGGGCGGTGGTGTATATCCTTCTTGGGGCCCGCAGCCGCACCAGGGTCCCAAAGCCGTTCGGTGGCGGGTTCTGCGCTGTCGTTTCTGTTGGGGGACTTCGAGGTCACCGCACGGGCTGCCACCGCACCTGCCTGTGGGGGACCGCCCCGGCACCTCCCCCTCTGGCGCCGCCCGGGGGGGCGGAGAGGGGGGAGGGGCGGAGCCTCGGGAGCCTCGAGGCGGGGGTCAATGCAAACGGGTGTCAGCCAGATGGCGTTGCAGCTTCGGGGGTCCTCGCCCGTCCCCCAAACATTGGTGTCTCTTCTTGTGCCCGACGAGGGCTCGATGCGGGCGCGGCGCTGATTTGGCGTGGACTCGACAAGGATTCGACACGGACCCGACGAGGCCGAATTCGACATGGATTCGATGCGGATAGGGCCGCGACGGGACAGGCAAGGCCCCCTGAGGATGCAACAGAAAGCTCGAGGCAGAGTTGCCGGCGGACAAAACTCACATCGCCGGAGCCCTGGGAGAGTCCAAAGCTCGGAAGCCTCGAGACGGGGGTCAAGGCAGACAGGGGTCAGGGGGGTCAGTCAGAGCGCCGGATCTTGCAGGATCCTGCAGAGCCAGTGGTGCATTGACCCAGGCCTGCGTGCAGGATGCTGCAGGACCCTGCATAATGCTGCAGGATCCTGCAAGGCCCGACAGACCCAGGCGTGGACTGACCCGGGTCAGCGGAGCAGGAGGAGGAGGAGGCGGAGGAGGAGGAGGCGGAGGAGGAGGAGGAGGAGGAGGAGGAGGAGGAGGAGGCGGACGCGGAGGAGGAGGAGGAGGAGGAGGAGGAGTCCGCAGATCCCCGACAAACATAACGCCCTCATCCCGGAGGCCTCCACGCCCCCGCGGCCCCCCAGGGCGCGGCGCTGGACGCCGCGGAGCCGCTCGGGGTGGACGAGCGGCGGCGGCTCAGGCGCCGCCGCCGGGCGCCAGCGCGTCGCGCCCGCGCGCGCGCCCGGGGGCTGCCCGCCCTCTCTTCAAGGAAAGAAAAACCGCCCGGACCCGACAATTGGCGTTTACACATCGGGGGTGGACAGACCTCCTACCCTGACACGTCGATTAGTGAATTGTCCGTTTTCGGTTCTCGAGAGGGCGCCGCGGCCGTTATTTTCCAGGCTTGCGCCCGCCAGGTTTGGGCCCGAGGTCGTTTTCACTAAACCCTAAAGGGAGGTCTGTCCATCCCCGAACTCAACGGCCCTGGGCGTTTACTAATAAACAGCCCTACCCTGTTCGATTCCTTGTCTGGGTGCGTTTGCTGAACGGCTTCGCTTGTCGGGGTGATGATCATGGGGGTCGATTGTTTGCCCTTTCTCTCGGGTCTGGGGTTTCCGAGGTTCGAGGAGCGGGACTCGCTGGCGGGAGGTTTTGGGAAGTCCTGGGGCGCTCCCGTGGCCACGGCTGGATCTGCCTCGACATGCTGGGCAGAGCGCACCACAGGAGGGATCCAGGGATCGATTTCTGGTCCGACGGAGATTACCCGTCGTTCGGAAGAAGTGGGTAGAAGCATGCATTAGGAAGGCGTTGGAAGTAGATTGGGTTCCCGCTTGCCTCCTGAAGAGGAGCGAAGAAGGAAGTCATTACATCCTTGAAGCAGGAAGGCGCCTAAAGTAGATCGTGATCTGGGAATCCAGAAATGAATACCTACTTTCAACGACCGAGGTGGGTTTTCGGATGCTTTCGTCGGTTCTCCCAGCTTCGGGACGCTGCCCAGAGGCTGCGCCTCGGCGAGCATGTTCCAGACGTGTGCGCGGATCGTCTCGAACGGCCGCCCGAGGTCCGAGTGGTCGCCCGAAAGCTATCAGCAGACAACCGCATGTTGTTGATAAGCAAGCATTCCTCCTTGAGACCTGAGTGTTGGCTATCTCTGGCCAGTGCAGTTTTGGTCGGCGGTGGGGAGCGGCGGGACCGAACTTCATCGTCACTGGGAAAACTACGAATCGTAGATTGAAACTTCTTACCGCGTAGCATCATCATCAGCAGCAGCATCATTACCATCACCATTAGCATCAAATACTGCGACTACTACGACTTCGAGTGCGACTAGTACTACTACATCATCATTATTCTCGTTACCATCAACGGCTACGACTACATCTACTACCTTCCCTCCCCCCCCGGGCGAGCTTTTTCCCCCAAAGTGCATGCAGCATTCGGGGTTCTTACTTCGGTTAATCATCTCGGGACCCTCGCCGCAAAGTCGCCGCAGTGCCGCCCGTCGCCGCCATGCCCGCCCGTCGCCACCCGTGCCGCCCGTCGCCGCCCGTCCCGCCTGTCGCCGTCGCCGCCCGTTGCCGCCATCCCCAGCCGTCGCCGCCCGTGCCGCCCGTCGCCGCCCGTCGCCGTCGCCGCATCGCATACACTGCACCGCATGGACTGCATTACATAGGTTGCACCGCAGACACTGCACCACATACTCTTAGACTGCATTGCATAGGTTGCATCGCATACATTGCAACACATATATTGCACCGCATAGACTGCATTACATAGATTGAATTGCATACACTGCGCCACATCGATTGCACCGTTTAGACAGCACTTCATCGGCTGCACCGCATACATTGCACCACATAGATTGCGCCGCGTATACTGCGTTCCATAGGCTGCATAGCATATAAGTCCCCACGTAGATTGCACCGCATAGGTTGCATTACATAGATTGCATCGCATTCAGTGCACAACACATATTGCACCGCGTAGATTGGAAGAACCAACTAGTCAGGTCCCATGCTGGCTAACATACTATCTCCAGGGCTTCCTATCGCCGTAAAATGCCCGAGATGAACTCCCCACACAGGAGGATTTCAAACCCTTTTTTAATTGATAGGTTTTGTCAAAAGGACTTTGATTGGTTTGCAACCTTGTTTTTTTCGAAACGCCTCCCCCCAAGTCCTCCCTCTCTCCTCCCTCCTTCCTTCCTCCCCTACAACACCAACAGCAACTACTACTAGGACGACGACGACGGCGACTACAACTACGACTACCACTACGACTACCACTACTACTACTACTACTACTACTACTACTACTACTAGTAGTAGTACTACTACAACTACCACGACCAATACTACTACTACTACTACTACTACTACGACCACTACTACTACTTCGACCACTACTACTACCACTACTACTACCACTACTACTACTACTACTACTACTACTGCTACTACTACTACTACGAGTACTACTAGTACTACTACTAGTACTAGTACGAGTACTCGTACGAGTACGAGTACGAGTACGAGTACTAGTACTAGTACTATACTACTACTACTACTACTACTACTACTACTACTACTACTACTACTACTAACTACTACTACTACTACTACTACTACTACTACTACTACTACGACTACTACTACTACTACTACTACTACTACTACTACTACGACTACTACTACTACTACCACTACTACGACCACTACTACTACTACGACTACTACTACTACTACTACTACTACTACTACTACTACTACTAACACTCTCTCACTATTACTACTACTACACCTACTACTACTACACCTACTACTACTACTACTACTACTACTACTACTACTACTACACCTACTACTACTACTACTACTCCTTCTACTACTACTATTGCTACTGCTGCTGCTACTACTACTACTACCACTGCTACTGCTACTGCTACTGCTACTACTTCTACGGCGACTGCTACGACTATGTGCTGCTCCCACCACCATCCACCATCATCATCATCAGCATCATCATCATCAACATCATAATCTTCAACACCATCATCTACACCAACATCAGCATCAACAACAACAACAACAATAACAACAACATCAGCATTATCAACATCCTCCTCAGCGTCTTTTATGCTGCGACCTGCCGGGAAAACCTTTAGTATCCTCCCTGGACGCCGAACTTTCTTATTCCCACCCCTTGAACCTCAGGGGCATGGGGTTAGGCCCGGGGGGCAGCGCATCGACCCCCCCCCAATCGCCCGCTGATCGCTGACAGGGGCACCATAGCCCTCCCCGCCCAGGCACGTGCGGTGCCGACATCGAGGGCCGACCGCCGATGCATCGGTGATGCATCGCCGACTCCAGCTGGGTGCTTCCTCCCCTGGAGCCCGTCTCCCGCTGACGTTCCCTCGCGACGGCCCGTCTCCCGTCGTTCGCGGCCCAGAGCCGGAGGGCGACGAGGAGGACGAGGAGCAGGAGGAAGAGGGCGAGGAGAAGAGGGGGGGTGGGGGAGGGGGAGGTGGGGGAGGGGGGGGAGGAGGAGGAGGAGGAAAAAGGAAGAACAAGGAGGGAAGAGCAGGAAGAGGAGGAGGAGGAGGAGGAGGAGTAGGAGGAGGGTCTTGTCGGGTGTTGGGCTGGCCCAGGCAGTGGCACTGTAAGGCAAGGGCTGCCCGTCTGGTTTCTGTCGCTGGCCGGCGGCGCGCCCTGACGGCGCCGCCGCGTTGCGGAGTTGTCAGCGGGCTCCGAATCTCCCGGCGCGTCGCGATCGTCGCGCTCGCGTCTTGGGGCCTTGCAGAGTGTCGTCCCCCGCTGTCCCGTGGGCGGGAGCCACATCCACACCTCGGGGTAGGAGGCGATGCACCGATACCGCTACCGCAGCTACCCTTACCTCGTCGTCAGGGCTGTATTCGCATCGAATTCGCATACGCACCCCTGGAGAGGTCTGGGGAGCACAGTCGAATCGCATAGTAACGACGATCAACTTTCCAATGTTACCCTTGCGTATCCGTGCGACCGCGTATCCACGGGGTCGAGCTCAGGAATCCAGACCGCGAGGGAGTGGACATGGATACGTTTCTTTCGCTCGTCGCCTCCCTCCGAGACGCATCGGCCCCCGATTGCCCACTCGTCGCCGATAGGACCTGGGCCCCCCTCCCGGCAACGTGCGGATTCACTATCGCCGATCTATCGGCGATGTATCGCCGATTCCAGGTCGATGTGCCCCCCCCGTATGCCAGCCCCCCCCGATCGTTGCCACTCACATTCGTAGGCCAAGTCGCAGCAGTCCTGGCTCATGTGGGGAGCCTCCAGGCCTGGCGGGCCGCCCTGGGGCTTCGCTTTGTAATTCACTCCGCCTGATCCTCTTCCGAAGCCCAGCGTCCGAAGGGAGTTCTTTGTGTCTGGGCGCGCCGCCGTTTCGGCAACGCACCCCTGGCATCCCTCGGCCCCCGTCGCGGAGATGGACGACGCTGCGCCCTCGAGCCCGCGGTGCTTTGCACCAGAGCGCCTCCCCCTCCGCGCACGTGCCTTCGCCGTGCGCCTCTCCGGGCGCGTACACCGCACGGGGCAGGACGCGCCGAAGGAAGGGGCCACCGAGCGCTCAGGGGGGGGGGGGGGGGGGGGGCTCCGGTGGTCGGGCCGCTCCTCGGGTCCAGGTCGGGGCTGGCACCCGTGCGTGGCCGAGGCTGGCCGTGGCCGGAGATGGGCGGCCTTTCCAAGGAGCGCCAGAGCAGGAGCGAAGGGGGCCTTTGATTTGGTGGCCAGGCCCTGGCCAGAAGTAGGTGGCCGTGGCCAGAAATATAGGTGGCCGTGGCCAGAAGCAGGTGGCCAGGGATCAAGAGTTGGCCGTGGCCAGAAAGAGGTGGCCGTGGTCAGGAATAGGCGCCAGATCAGGAAGCGAAGGGGCCCTGCAGAGGCCCCTTCGTTCCTGATCCAGCGTTCCTTCTGCTAGCACGGTGGCCGCAGGTCGGCGGCCAGCGAGGGGGGAGGTGACCCGGAGGAGGCCTCCTCAGAGGGTGGCCTCAGCCTCTCACGAGCCCTCGGGCCTTCTGCGAGGCTTCCTGCGTCTTCCGAAGGCGCAGGGGACATTCGAGCCTTCTGAGCAGGCCTGCCCCTCCTCACGTACGGTGCCGTTTCTTTATACATGCTCCGCGTGCGGATCATGCATAACAAATGCAGAGATTTAGTATTGGAAACAACGATGAGTTCATGCATCAATTCATTAATACATTAATCATGTATGAAACATCTTATATTTAATACAAATCCTATGTATTAAAAGCTGCCCTGTACCCCCGGGCTCGCCGCCCAGCAGTTCTCCTGGGCAGAAGGTGGGCCCCGCGCGTGGGTGCGAAGGTCATGGTGCCGCGGTGTCGCGGCCTTGGGCTAGAGTTAAGTCGGGCCTGTCCCCCTACAGGAGGATTTCCGACGAAAACAGAAAATACCCCGAAAATAGTCAAAACATAATCCAAGAATGGTCTGGGGATTGTGTTTTGAGCATTTGTTTACCCTTCTGGGGTATTTTGAGGGTATTTCCTATTTTTCGTCGAAGATCCCCCCTGTAGGGGGGACAGGCCCGACATAAGGCTAGAGAACAGCGGCACGAGGGCACGGCGGCGATGGCGCCCTCGCGCGGCATGAGGGGCCCAGAGCTCCGACGCGTTCTTCTTGCCCATGCGGGGTACGGTCGGAGCGAGGTGTAAGATCGAGGTCGGTGCAGGGAGGGTGCCCTCATAGTATTCTTGCTCGCTGGCTGTTCCTGTGCAGCCTGGGAGAGGGTGCCCTCGAATGCTCGAGGAGGAGGAGGAGGAGGAGGAGGAGGGTGAGGAGCTGGAGCGGATCGCGTGGGGGGGGGCGGGGGCGCGACTCCGGTGGGCCGTCTCTGACTCGACCCTGAGCGTCACGCCGTGGGGGTGCAGCGAGGGCTGCCGCAAAGGAGCCCTACGGGCCCCGTCGGGTCCGGACGGGGGCCTCTTAGGGTCCAGAAGGTGCACCTTTCTGCCCTCCCAGGTATCGCATCCCCACTAATCTGGACGCCCGAAATGGGCACGGAGAGAATGGGTAGAATGCCCAACAGCAGTTCTTGTTCATTTTGAACAGGACTCGCTGTCCACGCCGCCGCGGCCTGTATCAATTCGAGACAGAAGGCCGCCTGCCCAACAGCGGCCGCTGTTGGTCTGCGACAACATTTGCTGTCGGGCATTGTACCCATTTTTTCCGTACCCATTTCGGGCGTCCAAAACTAAACCTAGGCCTCGTAGATGGAGTCGGAGTGGAAGGGGTCGGAGGATCGCGCCGCAGCGCCGATGCATCGGCGTTGCGGCTCGGTGCGGAGCCCGTGTTTCCCCACGCCGACGTCGCCGATGCGTCGCCAACGTCGGCCATGCATCGGCGGCGCGATCCTTCGACCCCATCTGCTCGGACCCCATCTCGGAGGCATCTAATTCAGCAACGCCCAACAGCCTCGACCAGGCGAGGCCCATGCGAGGGGCGCAGGGCAACGGGGTCGTCTGCGCCGACACTGGCGCGCAGGCTGCCCGCGAAAAGGTGGCGCGTGTCGCGCCAGCGGCCCGCGTGAGCCACGGCGCCAACTCGCTTGGTCATCTCGCGCAGGACCCGATTCTGATCCTCGCGCATGCGAAGGCAGTCTTCATCGCCGTTTTGGCGCTGCACGTCGACCTGGAGCCTTCCCTGGTCTTCCACGCTTTCTGAGCCGCAGCGTAGTTCGCTCCTGTGCGCTTAGTGCGTAATTTAGGCCGTTGCATTGTTGCTTCGCTCTCGCGCGGCTGTACCGCTTGCGCTCGCGACCAAAAAAGTAAAGGAAGTCTTAATGCGGTCGTTGCGCATGTTTGCCAAGTGCGCTCCATTGGTGGAGTCAGGTATTGCTCACCTTCGGCGCGAGACTTATTTGCTCACGCCGTGGGGTGTCGAATGTGAACCCAACGAACGCGCAATAACCCAGTCTCACACGTGGGTAGTGCGGATGTCAGCTGTGGACAGAGTCTGTGCGCACCCCACGACTGTGGATGCGGTCCCGGGGGGGCGATCATGCTTCGAAGAGGCACAACTGCACATCAAGACTCTTCGGAACTCCGCGCGGATTTTTCGGATCTGCGCTGGGACCCCCCCCGCGGCGCTTCGGGCGCCGCCGCCGCCGCGCCCCGCGCGCGCCAGGGGAAGGTGGCCCAGTACCGATCCGAGGAAGTCGAACGGCGTCTCGAAATTCTGAATTCGTGCAGTCTTCTCTTCTTATAATGTTCCAAGCCACGCCAGAGAATTTGTACACCGTCCGAAGAGACAACGACATCCATCGTCCACAGGAAGGTCTCGTCGCGAATTCGCACCGAGCGCCGCGGCGCTACAGTCAGCCCGAATAGTGAGGATGGGCACATTTCCCAAGATACCCTTGCATCTTTGCCCCTTCGGCACATCCTTAGCGACTTTCACGTTCCACCACATTCGGAAAACGTCAACTTGCCCTCCAAAGCCCTTGCATCCGTACCGCACATTTCCATGATACGGGTTGACTGTGCACGCCCACCCCTGCAGTTGGGACATCCCTTCGCTGTAGTGGCGTTCGCTCGTTCGTCCTACTCCGAGTTTCTCAAGAAGCGTCGGGGGGTTGTCACCCCCGCCGACAGCCCCACATCGACCCCCGTCGCGGGCAGCCACCGCGCGCCGAAGACGCTCCGACCCCCGTCGCGGCGCGATGAAGAGGCGAGGTTGACCCCCGTCGGGGGGAGATACCCCCACGCTTAGTCAGAAACTCGGAGAAGCTTGTGGCTCTGGCCGCAGGCACGGGGACTTCCTCCTGATCGTGGAGTGCAAGGGCACCGGCAGGAGCTGGCGCGGGCGTGCCCGCCCCCGACCCCCCCCCACGCCACGCCACGCCACGCCGCGCCGCGCCCGTGGGGCCAGCGTGAGGGGCCGGGGCACAAGCCGCGTGGGCGAGGCGGCATTGCGGTGTCTCTCCTCGAACGTCCGATGGGCACTCGCAGGGTTTGCACTTTATTTTCCTGGGGGAACGGCCAATGACATAAACATGAAAGCTCGGAGGTCCGCGCGGATTTCTCGGTCCGCGCTGGCGCCCACCGGCGGCGCCTTCGGCGCCGCCCCTAGCGCGCTCCGCGCGCAGGGGAGGGGGGTCCACCGCGGATCCGAGAAATCCGCGCGGACCTCCGAGTTCTTATGTTTATGTAATTTTTCGTTCCCCTAACTTTATGTTCCATCGTCATCAGGGGTGACCCCGTTCGAGTCATTCGCGAAAGACGCGGCGGCGAACCGACCCACTTCCCGGCGCCGCCGGGAAGTGGCCGACTTTGCGGTGAGTGGCCCAGTCCACCGGGAGGTGACTTAGAAGCGGGGACTGCGGGGGGCCTGCGTGGAAGGGCCGCGGAATTCTGTGGTCCTGTCGTTGCAATTCTTCCACGGCGGGCAGTTTTGCCCAGACTCGGGCCCGAGAACCCTCACGGATGGATCTGGCCAGAAAATCTGCGCATCATGACGAGGTATAGGGCTCCAGACCTGATTTTTCGCGATGTTGTCATTTTTCCTGCTGTCGGATCTCAGGACATCTGCACCCGTCGTCAACATGGTCCAACCGATCCCCACCCCCATCGTTCGGTAGCAGATCATGGGAGCGTACAGTATCCTCTCAATTCCGTCTTTAGCGTCGGTTAGCGTCGATTGGCGTCGATTAGCGTTTGGGAGCCGATGACATAGCGCCGATTTAGCGTCGGCTGGCGTCGATTAGCGTCGATTCAGCGTCGATTAGCGTCGATTCGCTAGAGCCGACAAGGTGGTGAGTATGGGAGGCCCCCATGAGCTGCCACCGAACCATCGGGCCATGCTTTCTCCGCCCCACCGCAGCCCGTCGACGTCTGAGCGCACCTCCGAAACTGTGCCGCTGTTCTTGCTGTTCCGGCGATCGGGCGGCGTCGCCCAGACATGCTTCTACGATGTGCGCGTCGGCCGCCCAGGTTGAAGTCGGGCGTCTCCCTCTACAGAAGGGAGATTCAAATGTAGGTAAACAATATAGTCTGGGGACGGTTTTGCCCGGTATTGTTCGACTATGGTTGAGTATGTCTTGACTATCGTCATTTTCCCTTCAAAACAGTCCGCCTGTAGGAGGACGCGCCCGACCGAAGCCCAGGGGCGACGCGCACGCGCAGAAACCTTTCTCTGGATTCCAGCAGATGCTCGTCGGCGGGCGCTTTCTGGCCATTCCGCCCGGGTCGCGATATACCGTACGGTCGGACCGAGGTATGAGATCGAGGTCGGTTCGGGGAGGGTACCCTGCTGTTCTTCGTGTTTTTTGGATGTTCGTGTGCACCCTGGGGGAGGGCATCCTCGAGCGATCTCATGGCTTAGGGGTGTTTGAGCAGGCGGAGGGTCTCATGTTCTCGAAGGATGTTCTTCTGTCCTAGGTCCGACCGTAACATGCGTGTCCAGTTCGGACGTGCGCGCCCGAGGGGGGTGCCTCGTAGTCTTCTCAGCAGATATAAGAGAATCTGGATTCTGGGACAGACTGATGAGACGTTCTTGGACTTCAAGTCTCGTCTTACCACCTAGGGCAGACTTAGACCACTGATCAAGCAAGCGAGACATACAGAGTTTGCTTTCTTAGGCGGACATTGTCTTGATCATAAGTTTCGATGTGCAGTCAACCCGCATAGTAAGGATGGGCAATTTTCCCATGGGTACCCTTGCATCCTTGCCTCCTCGGCCCATCCTTGGCGACTCTCGCTGGCCAGCCTCGTTCGAACAACGTCAACATCGCCCTCCAAGGCCCTTGCATCCTTATCGTGCGTCCTGGTTGTACTGGTTGACTCTACGGTAGGTACTGGTTGACTCTACATGCATGCATGCATGCATGTATGTGTGTGTCTGTATGTATGTATGCATACATGCATGCATGTATGTGTGTATGTCTGTCTGTCTGTCTGTCTGTCTGTCTGTCTGTCTCTGTCTGTCTCTGTCTGTCTGTCTGTCTGTCTGTCTGTCTGTCTGTCTGTATGTATGTGAGAAATGCATGCATGCATGTATGTATGTATGTATATGTGTGTATGTATGTATGTATGTATGTATGTATGTATATGTGCGTCTGTATGTATGTATGTATGTGTGTATGCGTGTATGTATGTATGCATGTGTGTATGTATGTATGTATGTATATGTATATATGTGTATGTATGTATATGTATGTATATGTATGTGTGTATGTGTGTGTATGTGTGTATGTTTGTATGTATGTATGCATGCATGCATGCATGCATGTATGTATGTATGTATGTATGTGTGCATGTATGTGCGCATGCATGTATGTAGGTGTGTATGTATGTATGCATGTATGTATGCATGTATGGATGTATGTTTGTGTGTACGTATGTGTGCCTGTATGTATGTATGTATGTGTGTATGCGTGTATGTATGTATGTGTGTATGTATGCATGTGTGTATGTGTGTTTGTATGAATGTATGCAGGTATGTAGGTATGTAGGTCGGGAGGCACGTATGCGTGTATGTATGTATGCATGCATGCATGCATGCATGTATGTATCTATGTATGCATGTATGTATGTATGCATGCATGCATGTATGTATGGATGGATGGATGGATGGATGTATGCATGTATGTATGTATGGATGTATGGATGTATGTATGTATGTATGTATGTATGTATGTATGTACATGTGTGTAAATGTGTGTGTGTGTGTGTCTGTGTTTGTGTTTGTGATTGTGTGTTCGTGTGTTTGTGTGTATGTGTGTCTGTGGGTGGGGGGCCTCCTCGGGGCGGGGGGGCCCTTCGGAGCCCTCCTGGGTGCCATAGATGCAGTGGGAGCCCATCCCAAGAAACACCTCCGCTTGCCTCCCGGGTGCCCTCCCGGGTGCCCTGGGCATCTTGGGCTTCGATGGTTTTGCTATGGAGCGCGCGGCGCTCCCGCGCCAAAAAAGCAATGGACGTCCTGGGGTATTCAGGGTTGGGTTCCTTGCGGAAGGATCCTCGTGATCGAGCTCCTGCTGCACCACAACTGGGGGTCCCCGATGAGGGCCCCCGGCTCGGAGCCAGATCCTGGGCCTCTCTGGGACCTCGTGGGACGCGCTTGGGGCCGTCGGGGGGCCGTCGGGGCTGTCTCGGAGCCGTCCTGGGCTTCCCTCGAGGCTCCCTCTCTTGGAGACGTCTTGCGGCAGCAGACGTCCAGCGGAAGCGGAGAGGCGAGCCAGCGAGGGCCATGGGACATTTTGTACCCTTCTCAAGGAGTTTGTGGGCCTCTCGAGGGCATCCATGCTGGAGGCGCCGAGGAGCGGATCTGGAGGCTCAGAGGGTCCGGAGATGCGCCGAAAATTTGTCGACGCCCCCCCTCTGGCGGACTCCTGCAAATTGGGGGGGGGCCGCGGTGTGTGTGTGTGTGAGAGAGAGTTCGATCGGTTTTTGCACCGCCGCCCAAAACAGATGCCCCCCCTGCCGCCGGCAGCTCCCGATAGTCGCCGATCTAAGTGAGGCATGCGGGGGGCATCCGTTGGCGGCAGTGCGGTGCACCAGCGGATCGAGCTCATGCCCCCTCTCAGGGTCACCCCCTTTTTTGGTGGATCCCGACTCTGACCGGATTTCTGACCCGCGAGAGGGGAAAGGGGACAGTCAGTCACCTCGCACGCCTTCTCGAATTTTGGCACGCGGGGGTCGGCGGATTCCCGACGACCCCCCGACTCCTGCCTCCCAGCCGTGCCCTCGGCTACGCACCTGGCAGGAAGATGCTCATCCTTCAGTTCGAGGACCTGAGGTCGGCTGGGCCCACCAAGGAGCGCCGCGCGGTGGGTTTGCGCGTCGCACGCCCAGCTCGAGCAGCATGAGTGCGCAGTGTTGTTTTGGTTTTGCACGCAGTGCTTCGATGTTGCTCGGACCTATCTCGGAACGTTGATTGCCCTAATTGTGTTCATGCTATGTCTCTCGCTTGACCAGCATTTCTCGTATCCCGCAGTGTGCCATTTTTTCAGGACGCTCGCTATCGTTGAGCCCGCGGAGCGGGAGGCACTGCGGGCCCTGGGAGCTCGCACGCAGATTTTGTTATCAGTCGATTCTCGAGGGAATGGCTTTGACGAGCTTAGGCGTCAATCGCTGCAACTCTTGACGCTTCGCTTATCCCCACCAGTCCATCCAGAAAGGACGCCCAGAAGAGCTGCATGGAGGAGGGACGTAGGTATGCGTGTAGTGAAGCGCGCTCTTCCGTTTTAGGCTCGCAGAGCGGGAGAAATGACGGGTCCTTAGTATGGAGTCCTGGATAAGGTACCTTGTGTAAGGAATCCTCCGTGGCGGTCTGTAGTAAGGAAGCGGTGTAAGGAATCCATAGTTTGGGGACCCTTGGTAAGGAATACCGAGGAGGGAGTCCTCAATAAGGACATCTTAATCAGGAGTCCTTGATGGGGAGGCTTTCGTAAGGAATCCTTCGTAAGGGGTTTCCAGCAGGGAATCACAAGTCAGCAGTTTCTCCAAGACGATATCAATCGTAATACATCTTTACCAGTGACTTTGAAACACGGGATCCGTATGATGGAAGCATTAGTAAGGAGTCCTAAATAAGGAGTCCGTACTAAGGACTCCCTAGTATTAAGAATAAGTTGTTCGAGGGAGTCTTCAGTAAGGGTTTCATAACGAAGAATGTTGAAACGAAAGGCCTTCGCAAGAAATCCATCATACGGGAATTTGGTGAGGGATCCCCAGTAAGGAGTCCTTAGTAAGGAGCCCTTCGTAGAGAACCCTGGATTTCATTGTAAGGAACCCCTGTAGGGAATCCTTAGTCGGGAATTCTTGGCGATAAACCCTTAGCACGGGATTCTCAACAAGGAATCCTTAGTCTAGAGTCCTTAGCAGGGAATCATTACGCAGGAATCCGCGGTATGGAATCCTTTATCAAGGGTTCTTTACGAAGGAATCAGTCGTGAGGATTCCTTAGTAAGTAAAGAGTCCCAAGTTAAGTGTGGAATCCGAAGTAACGAGTCCTTAGTAAGGAACGTTCTGCTAGGGATCATTCGCAAGGAATGGTTTGTATGGAATCCTTCGTAGGGATGGAGGGGAAGGAGAATTGGGAGGATGAGGAAGAGGAGGACACGAAGGAGGATGAGGAGGAGGAGGTGTTGCGTACGCAGCTTGGCTTGCCGCCCATACACATGCTGGCTGCCAACGTTCCCTGGCGCTGACTCCTCGCTTAGGGGGGTAGGCCCTGGGAGAAGGATCCAGGGTGAAAAAAACAGCCCCTCTGGATCCACTGGTCCCCTTTCTTCTCGGCCCGAAAACAAAGGGACCAGTGGATCCAAATCATTTGTTTTCCCTGGAGCATGTCCCTCAGGGCCAGACTCCAACTCAAACATGTACCTCTCCACAAGAAAATCGACGCAGGGCCCCCACACACAAAGGGACTTTGTAGGTAACCCCCCACAAAGGGAATCGATTTAACCGCCTCCCCCCCGCAAAGAGAAGGAAAGCAATCCGAGCGTCACCCAGAGAGACAAAGAAACAGAGTATGACAGAGAGTGAGCGACAGAGTGAGGGAGAGAGTGAGAGTGAGTGAGAGAGAGAGAGTGTGTATGAAAATGATGCAAGCTTGGCAAACGCAGAACTCCGAGGACCTGAACCCCACCAGGCCCCCTTTGCGCCTGGAGCCGCCCAAGCGGCCGCAGGCACACGCGCTTCGCCGCACGAGCATGCACCAGCTCCTGTCTCGCTCCCCTCCTCCCATCCTCCTCTTCCTCTACCTCCTCCTCTTCCTCCCTCCTCCTCGTCCTCCTCCTCCTCCTCCTCCCTCCTCCTCCTCCTCCTCCTCCTCCTCCTTCTCTTTCTCCCTCCTCCTCCTCTTTCTCCCTCCTCCTCCTGCTCCTCCTCCTCCTCCTCCTCCTCCCCTCTCCTCCTCCTCTCCTCTCCTCCTCCTCCTCCTCCTCCTCCTCTTCCTCCTCCTCCTCCTCCTCCTCCTCCTCCTCCTCCTCCTCGTCCTCCTCTCCTCCTCCTCCTCCTCCTCGCCGCGCTGGACCGGCGCGCGCCGCGCGGCCAGCAGGAGTGCGTCCGCGCCTCTGCTCGGGCGGGGGGCGCGTGAGCAGTGGGCGCCAGCGCGCGCGCGCGCGGCGGTACCGCGCCCGTGCCGCGCCGCGTAGTTTGAGGCTTGTTTCCGCGCCGCACGCGGCTGGCCCGAGGAGGAGGAGGAGGAGGAGGAGGAGAAGGAGTGGAGAGGGAATAGTGGTAGGAGGAAGGAGGACGAGGAGGACGAGGAGCACGAGGAAGGGGACGCGGAGGAGGACGAGGACGAGGAGGAGGAGGGGGAGCAGGATGAGGAGGGGGATGGGGAAGGGGGAGGGGGAGGGGGGACAGGGGGGAGTTGGAAGATGATGGGCAGTTGGAGGAGGAAGAGGAGGAGGGAAGAGGATGAGGAGGGGTGATAATGAGGAGGGGCAGACGGAGGCGGATGAGTTGATCGTTTTCCTCATCTTCGCTTCCCCCTTCGCTTCCCCCCTCCCTCTCCCTCAGCGTCCGCTGTTTGCGGGCGCTGGCGCAGTCGGGGCCAGGTGCTGCGTCAGAGCCGCCGCCAGCGTGGGACGAGGGCGAGGACGAGGACCAGGCAAGAGGAGGGAACGGAGCGAGGTGCTGGCGGCTGTGCGCCCGAGGACCCGTCAGGGCCGCCCACGATCCGATTCGATTCGTTGGCTTGGGCCGCGATTCCAATTCCATGCTGTCTGGCTCTATTCACCGGCATCTGCCAGGGCCAGCCAGAAGCGGGGCGCTGCGATTCGATCCCGATCCCATGCGCTGGCGATTCGCTGGCGACTCGATCCGCTCTCGATCCGACCCAACCACCCGATCCGATCCCGCGCAGACATGCCCGTGGCGGGGACGCGGCCGCCCCATTACGGGGCCAACTGCGAACCCCTACCCCTACCCCCCACGATTTCTGGGGGGGAGGGTGGGGTTCACTTCGTTCGGGAGCTCCCGAGCGAAGTGAATCCCACCCTCCCCCTCAGAAATCGTGGGGGGTAGGGGTAGGGTTCGCAGGTGGTCCCCTACCCATCCTCCCCTCACGGCCGCACCCGGCGCCCCCGTCTCGTCGCCGCCGGCCTGTCTTCTGGAATCGCCGGGCGCGCCCCGGCCTCGGACACCCCCCGCGCGCGGCGGGCGCGGAAGGGCGCCCTGCCGCGCCGCAGCCAGAAAAAGCGGGCGCCGCCGTCGTCCTGCCCGCGCGGCGAAGGGGGCGTCAGTAGACGGGCCGGTAGCTGAGGGTGCGCTTTCAATTGTGTGTTTCAAAGATGACTTGTTGCGCACAAGTCAGGAGCGAAAGAATGACGTACGCGTACATGAATCCACGCTGGTTTCGAGAGTACGCATTGCGCAAATGTTCGTATAATGCGGCCGGTCTCGCGGATCGAGGGGCCGTGTTCATGTACACAGTTGGGCGCGTACGTCCTTTGTGGGCTCCCTAACAAGTGTGAGGTACCCCCCCCCGCCAAGAGTTATGATGATGTATCGACGCTTGTGTCGCCCCGATGAATCCCCTTCTAGTGTGAGGTAGATGCCCTGTCACCCCGTGCTCGCTTGAAGAGGCCCCTCAGCTACCGCCCCGTTTACCAACGCCCTGTTTGCAAGGGTTGGGGGTCCCGAGCTCATCCTCCCGCCTTCTCGTCCTTCCTTGTGGAAAGACACGGGGCGTCTCTGTTTCCGGTTTCTAGTTTGGGATCTTGGTTGGCTGAAGACGCCACGTTGTTGTAGCCTTGTTGTTGCTAGTGCTTTGGCCTTGTCGGGCCCGTCGCTGTCGAATCTCGCTCGTGTTACGCTTGCTTGCTGGCGTCTAGGTCTGCCCCTTGTCCTCCCTGCCGTCTTCGCTCCCCCTCCTTCTGGTCTCGTCGCAACATCCGTAGATCAGGGGTGGACAGACCTCCTAACAGTGACACGTCGATTAGTGAATTGTCCGTTTTCGGTTCTCGAGAGGGCGCCGCGGCCGTTATTTTCCAGGCTTGCGCCCGCCAGGTTTGGGCCCGAGGTCGTTTTCACTAAACCACGTTTTACTAAAGGGAGGTCTGTCCATCCCCGAGTAGAGTGGGCGGGGGCTGCAGGTGGCCCCCGTGCGCAGAGCTGCAGACGGTAAGCAAAAGCGCTCTGACGCGTGTCGGACACCCGAGCGAACCGGGCAGGGGAGCCCCCTCGGCCCGTCCGCGGCGGGCTCTCCGACGATGGAAGACGACAAGACCCGCAAACGCCCAAGGACCTGTTCGAGCAGCGTTTTCAGATGAATTTCGGCGACCGTGGTCTGCGATCGGCACCGTTGGGGCCTAGGGGGCACGACAGTGTCCTCGTCGGGCCTCCTCGGGGCGCGGGAGAGCTCTATCCAGGTCCCCGCTTGCCCCCCAAGGTGCCCCCCCAGGATGTTCCCCAGGGTGCCGGTCGCAAACCACACCTTTTGCAAACCACACCCTTTGGAGTCGCCGAGACTTGTTGTGACTGAAAACCCAACCAAAAACAAGCTCCAACACGCCAAGTTGAACACCGAAAAAACATCTGGGGCAGATTCGAGAGGGACGAAGTCGCCCTCATCCCTCGCCTCCTTCTCCCTCCTCCTTCACCCCCTTGCCTTGCCTCCTTCCCTCACCCCCCGCCCCTCCATCCTTCGGTCACTTGGTCGTCCTCCATTGTCATCCTTCCTTCTCCTCCTGCTCTATTCTCCCTCTGCAACTACACGACATGAATACGTCTCTCCTCTCCCCCCCAAGCTGATGAAAAAGTAGCGCGCCTCCCTCCGCGCATTCTGTCCGATGTGTCTTTCCAATCCGATGCTTTTGGGCTTCTCCACGTGCGTTTTTTACACGATGTGCACTAGCTGTGTTTAGTTACGAGTTGTCCAATCCGGATGCTGTCGGTCCTTCCAGAACGGCGATCTTGTTTCATCGTTAGTTTCGTTTCCGCACTTTGGTCTCTTCCGAAATGGCGTTCCCGTCTCATCGTTGGCTCCATGTCCGCGTCCTCGGCCAATTCCAATGTTCTCGGCCCTTCTCACTGGTGCTACCAATGTAGCGTTAACATCACTCCGCGTTTTCCTTCTTCAAACTGGTGCTCCCGCTGCAACGCTGGCTCCGTTTCCACGTTCTCGGTCCATTGCATCGTTCTCGATCCACAGGTCTTCCCGCTGTAGCGCTGGCCTCGGTCCGCGCTGTTGGGCTGAGTGTTCTAGTTGCCGTGGAGCCCCAGCCTTCCGCCTTCCCCTGATCCTCGTTTTCCTCCCGATCCTTCCGCTTTCATGATTGCTGATGTTGTTCGTCCTCATCCTTTTTTCCTCCCGCTCATGCTCCTGCTCATCCGCCAGCTCCTCCCCCTCATGTGCTCGCAACGCAGCTCCCTTTTCTTTCCGATTGCGCATGGCACGAAGTTGTCTTTCGCCATGCGAAGGGATGGGAGTGATGGATAGGATGGCAGATGAGGCGCGATCACACCTAGCTTGCCTCCTCCCCCTCTTCCCCCTCGTTCCCCTCCTCCCCCTTCTCCTCCCCGTCCAATATACTCCTATCTCTTGCTCTTGCTACCCTGTAATTAACTACCAACCCCTCCCCAAGCATTTCACAGTCCCCAAGTGACGACTGATCGATGGGCTCAGCCATTCTTCCGCATGAGTCCAGTATGGCCCAGTTGGATGGGGTCAGGAGTCACGCGCATTTACTCGGTGCACCCATGGAACATCATACACCCATAGCTCTTCTACACGCGTGGCTTCTACAATGTTGCCCCCTCAGGAGGGGGGACACCTTCTCATTATTATTTTCCTCGGTCCCGGCCGCGTGGCCGATAAGATCGACAGTTTATGCTTGCATATCGTTTGTTCGGAAACTCTTCGTTGCGCATCAGACTTGAACTTCCCTATGGATTGCCCCACAAAGAGCGCCGCTCTCATAAATCAGCACTGCCCCACACCGTTTCCGTGACGTTTGGAAGGTGCTTCTGGGCATCCCCACGACTAGCATTGGAATCGCATCTGTGCACCACCTCTGCGCACTTGCGTGTAGAATGGGGATGCCGCCACACAACTCCCCACGATATCGTGAAACTTATCGCGGCGACTCTTGCACTTCCGACGCACGCCTTCACAAGCCCCCAGAGGGTAAGGAGCTGCGGCGACACCAGCAATCAGGGGTGGACCTGAACAGTGTTTTGCCGGTTTCGTGGGCCGTTTTCGTTTCGATGTCGTTTTGCAGCGGAGGCGGATTTGAGGCAAAGCGAGGGAGCACGAAAACAACACGAGAACGAAGAACACTGTTTAGGTCGAGCCCTGCCGGCAATCCTTCCTCGTCCTACCGCCCCATCTTTCTTGGCCCCCCTTGCTGCTCCGGCGCCCCTGCGCTCCTCCGCGCTCTCCGCCAATTCCCCGGCACCGAATTCCGCCCCACCCTCCATCTTGCTTGGAGTCGAGCGTGTCCCCCCACAGGAGGAAGACTTAAAGATGGTAGTGAAAATAGTTTGGGGACGATTCTTCTGTTATTGTGTGACTGCTTTTCAGCATGTGTGGTATATGTTTTGGTTTTCGTCCAAAATCCGCCTGTAGGTGGGACAGGCCCACCCTAAATCTTGCCCCATCTCGCTTGCGCCGCCGCTAACTGCATCTTGTCTTCCTTGGCCGGTTTTCTTGTTGTCCTCTCTCTCTCTCTCTTCTCTTCCTCTCGTGTCCTCCATTATTCCATCCATTTTCTGCTTCCCTGCTCTTCCCCCGACTCTCTTCAATGCCCCTTCCCCCCATGCCGGTTGCCTACATCGCCCGTTGTTGCTGCTCGTGCCCCTTCCTCTCTCGGTACCCAGGTGCCCGCCTCTCTCTCATTGTCTTTCTCTCTCTCTCTCTCTCACTCTCCTGCACCCCTGGGGTGGGGTTCCCGTTGATTCAGGTGGCTTCCGGTGGAAACCCATGCCACGAAACACCCTGCTTGCCTCCAGGGTACCCTGGGCTTCTCGGGCTTCGACGGTTTTGCCTTGGAGTGCGTGACGTCCCCATGCCAAGCATCGATGTACATCCTGGGGTTCCAGGGTTTGGGAGGGTTGGGAATGGGCACCCACCAACACCAGCACAGGGGGTTTGCCTCCACAGGGGGAATCTGATCCTCGATTTCGGTGTTGCTGGTAATCTTTCGGCCACCTAGGAAGCCCACATATTACAACCATCACCGAGATCGGGATCATCTTCCCTCGGTGGAGGCACGCCGCCGATATCGGTGTTGGCGTCAACCTCTAGGCCTCCGAGGGTTTGGTCTCTTGTGGAAGGCTTCTTGCGGTACAGGCGGGGCCCTGAAGAAGGAACCCTTTTCGTTCGGGAGGGGCTCGGTGTTCTCTGAATGTTTCAAAGTTTGCCTCGGGCTTTCCTGAGGTGTTCCACGGGAAATCGAGGTTGAACTCATGGGAAAAAAGGGCCTCGCTCCTTATTTGGGGTTCCTGAGGTCAGCGCCCCGATTGTAGAGCTCCTGCGGGCACGCCACTCCGCCGACCCCAAGAGGAGCAGCGAGGTCCACGGGCGAAGCCTGCTGCCCCTCGGGGACCGTCTGGGGGGCCCCCTGGGGTGAAGTCGGGCACGTCCCTCTACCGGGGGATATGCAAACATAATCCAACAATCTATGGGGAGGATGTTTCGAGCATGTTTTTTTATGTTGTTTGGGATAGTTTTTTTTTTGCCTATGTTTAGTGTTTCGTCCCAGATCCGCCTGTACGGAGACATGCCCGACCTAACACTGGGGCATCTGTTGGACCCTCCTGGGGGCCTGTGGAGCATCCTGGGGGTCTGTTGAGCGGCTGCTGGCGGTCTCGGGAGTTCTACTGGGGCAGAGGGCTCGAAATGTCTGGGAGTGGGTTCATGTGGATTCTCCTGTAGACACAACTACTCTACACTTGCTTGGGCATGCCCGAGACGACCATACCCCAGACGACCTTTCTAAAGTCGTACAGGCATGCTCTAAACTCCCTTGGATTCTCTGGTAGACGCAACTACTCTTAAGTCGGGCACGTCCCTCTACAGGAGGAATATTCACACAATAGTCAAACATAGTCTGGGAACGATTTTTTTATTATATATATGATGTTTGATCTTTGTATTGGTATGTTGTTAATCGTTTTTTTATGTGTCGCCCTGAATCCGCCTGTAGGGGGGCATGCCCAACCGAAAACTATTCTAAACTCGCTTAGGCATGCCCGAGACGACCATACCCCAAACGACCACTCTAAAGTCGTATAGGCATGCTCAAAAGCAGTAGCATATAGGATGCCAGCGTGCACTTCTGACCGCTCCCAATGATCCCACATGCCCGTCTTGCGCACACAGGCCTAATTTGGCCAT